TAGTAGTAGTAGTAGTAGTAGTAGTAGTAGTAGTAGTAGTAGTAGTAGTAGTAGTAGTAGTAGTAGTAGTAGTAGTAGTAGTAGTAGTAGTAGTAGTAGTAGTAGTAGTAGTAGTAGTAGTAGTAGTAGTAGTAGTATTGATGATGGTGGTGGTGGTGGTGGCGACGCCGTTGGTGGTGGTGATAAGGCTGCTGATATTGATGACAACGGCGAAGACGGTAGTCAGGAATGCGCCGGTATTTGACGGTGTCGCTACTGCTGTTGTTCCAGTTTCTGGGTTGCTAGATCGTGTTTCTAAAGTTCTTTGTAATTTCTTAATCCGGAAATTAATATCCCCGCTCTCTGTTTCTACGAACAACGGAAGTCTCAGGATTACGCCGCTGCAGATAATACCGATTCGCTTGGGAGACCGTAACTGTCCTAGTTTCTGCTCAACAAATGCGTTGAAGGGTTTTCATAAATGTCCTGGGCAGAAATTTTGGTCAAAAGGTCTGAAAACGTGTGCTATCAGCAAAGCATGGCCCTCGCAGCCTGGTATGCGCTGACAGTTCCCTGACACCTCGTTTTCTGCCGGTAGATGCGCTTGCGCTCCCGCTTGGTATACAGGTGGTGAGCATGGCTGCCCGATCATCCTCTTCGTCGTCCTGACCCCTGTTGGGGTGATCTTGTTGGTAGTGGAAAATCTCGTTGGTGGTGGTCTGAGAGTCAGGCTGCAATGGCTCTTTTTTAATGTGGCCCTTATGGCACTCCCACCACAGTGTGGGATCCGAGCCAGGCGTCGGCGGCACGCCCAGGTGCGGCTTCGGTCGTGCCAGCCCCCAAACTCTGTTGTGTTGGTGAAAATCCTGGTTATTTGTTGTGTGGACCAGGGGATGCGGAGTGGAGCGCCAAGGTGATGATCCGTCCGAGCCATCCACCTGCGGCCTCCCTCGTCTCCGGTCTTATTGACTCTGTCTTGACACCGGGACCAGGCGAGGGAGGAGGAGAGAGTGTAGGTAGATGCAGCGCAAGTCTACTGGCACTATAAACCCCTGCGCAAGTCACCGTCCCTGCCCCCACGGCTGCTGCAGCTGTGGGGCACACGGTGGACATCGTCGAAATCGACGGTCGAACTGTCGTATGGTGTGGTAGTACGCCTAGATGTGGGTCCGGCCGTGCCAGCCGCCTACGGTCTTCTTGACTCTGTCCTGACACTGGGTCCAGATGGGGAGTTGAGAAGAGAGAGTGCGGTGGATGCTGCGAAAGTCAACTATCAATATAAACCAATTCATGTGCGAGTTACCGTACCTGCTACACCTCTCTGTGTAGCACACGGTGGACATCGTCGAAATAGATGGTCGAACTGTCGAGCAGAAATCGTGTTTAGAGTTGCACCAAATCAAAAATCGCTAAAGTAGTGTTAACATCCATAAGTCTTCTATTGGGCATGGTGCAGCAGTATGCGATTGCTCTGTCCGGTCTGTCCATCTCTACGGGTCCGGTCTGTCCTTCTTTACGGTGGTGAATGCTGGGCTTTGCGCGTGGAGGATGAGCGAAAACTGGAGGTATTTGACCACCACTGCTTGAGGATCATCCTTCGAGTGAAGTTCACCGACTTCGTCTCAAATGAGACAGTCCGCGCTCGCTGCGACAACATCGCAAGGATAACCCAGGTCATCCAAGAAAGAAGACGGGGGTGGTTTGGGCATGTGCTTCGTCGTCCACCTCAGGAGCTCAGTGTTACTGCCCTCGATCCGGCACCGTTGTCCCATTGGAGGCGTCGAAGAGGGGGTCAGTTCAAACCCCGGCTCGACACAGTTCGTCAAGACATGGAGGTGGTTCTTGGATCTTCGGTATTCGGTCTACGTCGTTGCCGAAGGGAATGGGTTGAGTTGTGCAGATCCGTTGCCGCGGATCGTCACGCGTGGAGAGGTACAGTTCGTGACATCATCGAGGCCGGCTAGATCAGGCATGATCGCAGCCGTATCAAATACAAATATGCGATTGCTCTTAAATTAGATCCTAGCAAGCGAGGTGTGCGTATCATAGTTTGCAGGGAAAATTCCCACGTGCATATTATTTTGATGATAAGGCAAGATCGGGATGACCAGAGCAGGCTCGTGTCTGCGTCTGTCACAACACCCTGGTTTCCCTGCATCAAGAGGTCATTTGTCATGCACAAATGTCCAGTGGTTGCGATTAGACATAAGCCACACCCCTCCGGTTTCAGATGCCGCCGATGGACTGAATGCAGGTTCATGTAGCCCCCAAGACAGAGGACGGGGTGGAAGGATCACTTCGCACAGTTAGGCATTCGACCCGACCGTCAATTCACCAGACTGACCGACGTTCACAGTTCGACCGTCCTAAGCGACAAAGTCCGTTACTGCTCTACAATGGGCACCCAAGGGGGAATTATACGAAATGCGTATGTAGTGGAACAGACTGACCCAACGTCTACGCGGCTCCTTATTCCAAAACCTGCCGTGCTTCGGTGGCAAGACAAAGTCAAGGAGAGTGAAGATGGGGCATACACGCGGTGGTCGACAAACTTTAATACGTAGTCTACGCTTGCTACGCACGGGCCTGGCCTTTAAGTAAGGGCGACTCTTGGATTGGATCACAGCAAAAGGCAACCCGTCCAGCTTAAGTTTCAGTCGTCGGTTGACAGTCCTCAGGACAGTCCGTTGTCCGAGTCAGTCAGTGCTGAGATTGGGTGCAGGAGCTGGCGTGAAGGGAAAACCACACCTAGGCGCACCACCGCACCCCCATGAGCGGCAGTAGTTATGTGATATGTGAATCCTGCGTTGCCCGATTAGCGCGCACTGTGAGCAAATCAGGTCCTCGACCTTGGTGGATACACGACAGTCCGATCATCCTGATAAACGATATCCACCGGGTGTTCCACAACACGGTGGTAACTGTAACTTGGTGATATTAGACTTGCGCAGCATCTACCACACCCTCTTCCCTTCCCTCACCGTAGTGGCTGGCAACGCGAAAACCTGCATCCTCTGGTTCACCATTTTTACTTAGGAGAGACGACTCGGATCCAACTTGCGTGGCGTGAATCTGCAACTGGCTGTCCTGCCACTCCGATTGTTGGTATTTGTTATAAGTACGCATTCCCGATAACTCCTGCCGGACCCCAATCTAGTTCCTTTGTTGTTCCAGAACACCAATCGCATGGGCCGTCTTAGGAGGGATGGCCACGGATGTAATCAACTGCAGTTTCCGGTAACAGTCGGTAGATGGCACCCAAAATATCCGCCTAACCAAAGCAGTCTGTCTTACGGGAGAGGTTGTAATGGGGTTTTTATGGGTGGTGGCTGGTCGGGATGTACGATACTAGCCGACGGAAAGCCTTATTTAAACAGGTGAATGATCGAAGTTGACCCGCTGTCCGTTCTGTTATTACAAAATGTGTCGCCATAGGCAGTATAATGGTAACGGACGAGTGGAAGGCGTATAATTGTCTTCTCTCAGAAGGTTATCTACATTTCTCTGTTAACCACTCAAAGAACTTCAAGGACCCTACCACCGGACGGCACACCAATGACATTGAGGCATACTGGATTAGACTAAAAGGGAAACTCGACGAGGGAGGCCCTGTATGTGGTCGAGCTGCGTGGGCTCGCATAGATGAAGTACAGTATCGTCTTTGGTTTGGTCTCAAAGACAAGTCTATGACAGATGCTTGGGAACTGTTCCTATCCCATGTTGTGCAGACTTAGTCTATTTAAAAGTGATTTTGTTTTGTAATAAACTGCCAAAATGCGAATATATGCCGTATATTCAGGTGTGCGTGTATAACGATGGGGAAGGTTGGGTAACAGCGACCATCGTCCATGTAACCTCCTGCGATGTTCGTTCGGCCAGCCCATGTTAGGCCGTTGCGGAAAGTCCAAGTAGTGCGTGAAAGTAGGCCTGCAACTGATGATATAGCCTGAAGGCGTTTGAGTCCACTGTTAAAGGTATTATTTCTAGGTAGCGGATTTTTTGGGTACCATCTCCCGTTTGTTACCCATTCCCTCCCCCCCCCCCCGGGGGGAGGGGGGGATACATATCACACCCCTGCCGAGGGTAGTTTGTGCACGCACAGGAGAAATTCATGCTGTGTTTTGCGCTGTCCATGTTCGACCCTAATGCCCGAAGTCGGCCGTCTCTCATATCCTCATTGTCTGCCCCCCACTCTTTCAGCAGCTGAAATGCTCTCCTCGCCGGTTGACGACGTCAAGGCCTGGTTGGAGGCGCAGGCGGTCGTGGTGCCCGAGGGCTGGGTGGAGGGCTGCACTGATTGGCTGCAGGAGGAACACGGGGCCAGCGTCTGTGCCAGTCGCCCCACCAGCTGGTGGCGTGAGGCCGTATTCGAGCAGTGGCTGCACACCGACCTCAGTCAACTCCTCTGTCCCATCCTCCCCTCCGCGTCTGACGGTCAGACAGACACAGATGCCTTTACTCTCGAAGGAGAGTTGTGCCTTCAGGTAACTGCCGATTTTGTGGTGCCTCGCAAATTACCGGAGGTCCGGTCCGCTGGTACGTCAGGAAACACCGATTTGCATGCCCCATGAACTTTACTCAACCCTTCTACAGTTGCGCATTAGCTCTTGAATGGCCTTCGCATTGCTTGTAGGCTAACTTCTTCATAATTCTTGTGTTAGCGACGGACCTTGTGAGCCTGGTAATATTCCGGGCACATTTAGACAGGCAGGTGTGTCCTGTAAAAGACCGTTAGTTATCTTAAAAAATTTAGTCAAGTCCTTAGTTAGTGAAGTTAAAAGAACAAAAGTGCTCTTTCTCTCTTCCATGCCCAATAAATTGCTTACTTTTATGCAAACAAGACCTACTACATGACTCCTTTAAAAACCATAATACGAGTTAAAAGAGACAGTTCTACTGAATGGAAGCGAGTATGCGGATCCCGGGTTTTTGTTGTGAAGAAGATGAACAAACGATTTCTCGGACATTAGGTGTATTAGTCAGAGCTTTCAGTCTCGTACAGGAGGTCATCGCCAGAGACTGTGAGAATGCGGCATCAAATGAGCAATTTTTGTAGTCAAGTCATGAAGTGGGGGGGGGATATGAGTGCAGAGGGTGGTATTCGCGATAAGCCGAGTACCACGCCGTCTTACGGCGGCGTGACTGCGTGCACCCTCGGCTGGAAATTGGGTCTCGCCTCTTGGCCGCTGGAACGGAGCGCGTGAAAGCAGGGGGGAGGATATGTCAGCGTGTCTGTTGATAGAGTTGGTGTCAGACACCCAGTCCTACTGCTGATCCGCGCTACTATCCGCGTACTCGCGAAGTGGAATTCGTGGCCTTCCTCCAGGTTGCGAGTAGTGACCCGAGACAACGGGTCGCCTCTCCGGACCGCCCGTTGACGCTCCGTTATTCGGGAGCTAAGTCGCTGTCCAGTCTGTCCTGTGTACAGTGCGTGACCTATCTCATGAAATGTTGGCTGAAATGTGGAAATGCGTTTTCGACTAGGAAGGATTACTTGGTCGCCGTTGTAATATTGATTAGCTTGTGGCATACTCTTATAACATTTTGGACTCGACAGGATGTCGGCTTTTAAATGCACTTCTTCTCAATCTCCTGTAGAAAGCGTGCTCGGTAAAAAATGACTACTTGAGTAGCATTCATTTTTCCCATTGATTTTCGATGGTCTTGGAAATTCAAATACATTTTATAGAAACCACACACAAAAATAAGCTTTCTTCTTGTCAATCAATAGAGGATCACGTCTTCCTTATATTTTGTACTTAAGGAAGGAGTATAATTAGGTTTTAAAAAAGTTTTCTAATTGCCGAAAAATTCGGAGCCTGATCATTCGTTGAATTAGCGCTTAGTGATTACACTCTACAAGGTGCATGCGTTCCGCGTAAAGAAAATCCCATATTTTTCTATGTCATTAAAGAGATATCATACAGAGTCCATAAAATTTTGCAATGGATGCGGACCATGTTGTATATTTCGTGAGGTGCAGTGGTAAACGGCCAGGTACGATGCTATGTGAATGGACATATCGTGGTCTTAAAAAGTGTCATAATTAGAGACTTTTTAAAACCTAGTTATACTCCTTCCTTAAGTACAAAATATAAAGAAGACGTGATTCTCTATTGACTGACTAAAGAAAAGCACATTTTCGTTTGTGTTTTCTATAACATATATTTGAATTTCCAAGACCATCGAAAATCAATGGGAAAAATTCATGCTACTTAAGTAGTCATTTTTTACCAAGCACGCTTTCTACAGGAGATTGAAAAGAAGTGCATTTTAAAGCCGACATCCTGTCGAGTCCAAAATGTTATAAGATTTGGTGTCAGACACACAGGCCTCCAACAGCTCTCGCCCTGTCTTATTGCTGGCCCGCGCTACCATCTGCGTGCTCGCGAAGTTGAATTTTTTGCCTTCCCCCAGGGTGTGAGTGACAACCTGAGACAACGGGCCGCCTGTACTGTCCATTGAGTTGGCTTTGCCAAGGTTTGTGAGCAAACCATGACCCTCGCCGCCCCCTGGTATGCGCTGGCAGTTCTCCAGTACCTGGTTTCTCTGGCGGTAGATGCGCTTGCGCTCCCGCTGGGTATACAGGTCGTGTGCATGGCAGCCCAGTCGTTCACGTCTTTTATCTGTCTCGAAACCGGATCCAGGTGGAGAGAAGGTGATCGCGCGGTAGATGCTGCGCAAGTCTACTCTCAATACAAACTAACTCATGCGCAAGTTGCTTCACCTCGCTGTGGAGCACACGATGGACATCGTCGGATGTGACGGTCGAGATATCACCAGTTTGCTTTCAGTGGACTTGACGCAGGGGGTCGGGTTGTGTGCCGACAAATTGGCGTTATTTTAAGGTGTCTTTAAAGCCCTGTGATGGAATGTTTGGTCGGAATGGGGAATATGGACTCCCTCCAGCACCACGGGTGGTCTTGCGCTAAATTGCAGACTGGTAAAAATTATCGTGCTCTGAGGCTAGGCTTAACCCTAACTCTGCAATCAGCCCCAACCCTAACCCGCCCCTCTGAAATTTAACGCAAGACTACCTCTGATAAGAAGGATCCATATTCTCGAAGCTTCTGGCTTCGGAAGCCTGCTTGCCTTTCTGTTTTGATTGGCTGTCTCATCACTGCCAGGGCAGTGCGACTGCTCTTGGCTTTAAATGCCACCTTGAAGCCTACCGGCAGCCTTTTTCTGTCGTGTGTGTTAAATTTCTCAACATGAACAAAGAGGCGAGTTGCAGGAAGCAGTCGCGAAGAAGGAGCCATGATCACTGGAACAAGAGCTTTATTAGCCCGACGTTTCGGATTCCCACCCGAATCCATTATCAGAGACTCAGTCAGATAAGGTTAGCGGATTGTCCAGGCGTTAGGGTATTGATAGGATGTAGTTGCTAGGCCACTGCATGCCTATCCTAATTGGCAGCCCCCGAGTTCATCATGGCTCGATTGGCCAGGTGTTGAATTATGCAGTTGCCATGCGGTTGCTATGTTCCTGCGTGCCTGTCAAAATTATCGACTCCCACGCTAATCGCACTCAGTAGAGTTGCTATCTGCCGGGGTTTCGTCGCCTGTGTGGGCTGTTGAGCGATTTGGCTCGTTGACATTGACACCAGGAGCAGTGGTTATCCACACGCCAGATCAGAAGGTTGCGTGTTCGGATCACGTCGGGGTCACCAATGACGTAAGTGGTAATGTTCCCATAACTAACGAGCCCCTAGCCTTTAAGGCAGCAAGTAAAACTGAGTAGCGAATAATATATAGATTCTGAATGTTAAGTAACCCGACAACAGAGCTCGACAGCAAAGTAGGCCAGCATTGCGGGTTGTACAGGTGTGCTGTTTTTCGTCACATTCAAACAAGCAATCCGGTCAAAGAAAATGGGACTAAATTGTCAAAGGTAAATTAGTCCGGTACCCCACCACACACTCTCCGCGTGGCAAAGTACTTTGCCCAGGTAACGTCTCAGCACCGGACGAGGAGGTCGTTGGTTGATTGAGAGCCGAAAAATCAAAGTCTCCAACAGTTCGCGGCTCACGCGGTTGTCGTATTTAGCGAGAATTTCGGCTTCAGCAGTTGAGTGTGTAGCTGGGTCCCCTCGAATGAGCCCCGACTTGAGAGCTGACGTCGGTTTCCCTTCACTGCCGCTACGTGCTCGACCATCCGCCTCCGGAGTAGTTTTCTAGTTTCTTCAACATAGTTGCTTTGCCCAAAAGTGCGTTTTTATCGCAGTTCTTGATGACCCAGCAGTATGCGACCTAACTAGTGAGACGTGATGACGAAAAGTGATGTCCAGCGTAAACCGTGGGAAACTGGTTGCGAACAGAAGTGTTGTTTTTAGAACATCAGACGTTTAGTCGACTTTTAAAAGCCATCTTTGTAAATCTGTATTATTTCCTGCCTTAAAGAGCAGTAAAAACGCGTACAGGCAATCCTTTGTTTAAGCGTGTTCTTGCTGTCTTGCTTTTTTGCCTATCCTACACGAGTAACCGCCAAAATTGCCATAAGCGAATGGCTATTTTTCATCCAGAACATATGGAAAGATATGTTTTATGTGCGGTCTACTTCCTTCTTACACGTCATCTTGAAATGGGAGGGGGCGAAACATTAACAGTTTGAGCCATGTATCATTATTATTTATGGGCACTCTTCTGTTCATTGTTAATCGTGGGATGGAGTCTGAAAGTAGGCAAAAGTAGCGAAACTAGCTGCAGTATGAGCATAAGAGTAGACTCTTTTGTCTGTCGCAGTGAAATTATCAGTACTTTTCAGGAAGGTGAAAAACACGGCCAAAATGCGCATTTCGTTCTTGGCTTTATCGTGTGAAAAGGTAAAGTACGTGGACACCCGTCAGCGTAATTCAATATAAAAGCACTTTTAAAATAGGTAGCTTGTTACAGGGATTTTCGCCAACCGATGTAAAGCCTATTTGTCACTGACTTTTGTTTTGGACTTTCATTCTTTCCGATAATGATGTTTTTATGTTTGTATGAGTCTTAAAGTGTGCCCAAAACAGCCATCTACATGAAAAAGAACGCCCAAGCACTCAGTTCTTTGGTAAATGCTCTTAAGAAATATCTCTTTTTGAAGGTTTTGATGAACGCATAGCGCAGAACCTATCTTTATGAGCAATTTTTGGAAACACTGAACATTGTGAAGTGTTCACTGACACGGGGAACTTCAGTGGACTTCACTGTTACCAAAACCCACACGTGAATTTGACGGGAAAAAGTGTCCCCTTAATTTACGCGAAATGGTGCGCTTGCGACTGTATCTTCCAATTCTATTTAGATTTAAAAGTCACCGGCCGGCCTGTCAATATGTTTTATTTTTGTGACGTCTATGTCAGCGACATCAAACGAACTTCTCTTTGCTCTAATGAACCGCGCCCTGTTCAAAAACGGAAAATTGCATCGATTTTGCCCAAGAAGAGCGTAGAACACATGACTAGACACTGCGCACTTGACTCTCGGCCAGACTTTGACTGATTTTGCAGGATATTTAATGAAATTGTAGGGCAGAAATATTTTTTTAAATGCCACTGTACTTATACCGTTTGGGTTAGTCAGCTATTTCCGTGGAAAATCATTAGGTTCTCCCTAGATTTCAGCCCACATGCGTGACTCCAAGTTTTGTGTCTTCGACATTTCTGATTTTCTCAAGAAACCTGTCCTTTCTAACCGGCAAAATAGTACTCTTCGCATTTATTTTGAAGTTTCACTTAACTGGAGGTCGTTTATTATTAGTATGATGTTTTAGTGGATGCCGTCGGACTATTTTCTGATTGGCCAGTGATTTTTCGTTAATATGAATTATTTTAATGAGTTGGGTATGTGCTAAATCTGTGCTAAATCTGTTTATTAAACCTATTGCGGATAAATTACTATCCTTTAAATGAAAAACTCGGTCAGATGAGTAACCGGACTCTAGGACATGTATTAACATAGGAAATTGCACGAATATACTCCAACGTCCATTTTCGCTAAAATTTACTGCTATTTTACTTTATATAATTTACTTAAACACAAATTCTGCCCAAGAAAAGAACATCATATTGAAGAAAGTGGATGAGCGAACAAAATGCGCAACGCCCAGAAATTCTCGCACCAGTTTCCGTTATCAGATTTCATGAGATAGGTCACGTACTGTGAAAATGCACAAACTTTATAAAAAAAAATAAATAAATCACTATGCCTTCCAGATTCCAAAGTGTGTTTCGTACACCGCAAAATCTTGCTAAAATGACGAAACACATACTGAAATTAAATGGCGGAGTTATCTGCAAGAATACCGTCCAACAGTTGGATTGAACTGATTAAGTCATTCTAAAAGGGCGCTCTCTTATAACCACATTTTCAAGCGGGGATAACCTTCTGCACCATTTTGTTTCATATGGATGGCTTAGTTTGCATACCCTTATATTAGTATGCTTTGCACACAGTCAACACGAATTACTCAGTGAGCATAAGATATGCAGAAAGTTTGTGGCGTTACTTGAACTATCGAGAATCAAAGGAAGGTGAAACTGGTTAGATCAGGTAGTTTGCAGGTGACATATCCAGCCATTGATTTGCCTCCCTGAAAATCGTCAGCCACTGTTGTTATGCATTTATTGCTTTCACTCAAACCCAGTTCACAATCTTAAGTCTCTGCTTCCTTGTTCACCTCCATTCCAGTCAGTTTTGGTCCACGCTCATCTAATCGGTAAAAAAGATCCTACTTACAACTTTTTAGTGGTACTTCAAACTCAAAGTTTCGACGGTCGTTTAGGATTAAGGTTCAATCCAAAGTGTGCCAGGATTCTTGACTACATTCTTTTGCCGCATTCCCTAGAATCATTAAAAGTCGACCCCAGCTCACTGAGTCCGGTTTCGTCATATACTTACCCTGAGCAAAAGTTCAAACGACCGAATGAGTGTTTTTCCTATTTTCGATGTTTAGCTAGTTACCCAATTTTGTCTTTAAAGCAATTTTGTCTAAGGGAAGGTTATTTACTAAAAACCGGAGTATTTCGCAATTCCTAGGCTTCTCAATTACTGGGTGTCGTCTTATATGCTCAACAGGATTTCCGTCAGAATGGTGTCTCTGTCCTCGGTATCTTTCAACATCATCTCTTTCCGCGTTGCACGGCCGACGATTAATTTTATTCTTCAGCACTTCTAATAACCATGAGGGGAACGCCCACCAATATATCCTGATTTTAAGATTCTGTTGGCGCTAGAAGTGACTGCACAATAACAACCAATCGGTAGTCATGTGGTATTGCTGACAAAGACAACACAGTTGACCGTGAATTCGAGGACAAGAAGAGTGGTTCCGTCTGTCGTGAAGTCAGGATCGATGGGCGTAAGCTACTTTACTCTGACTTTAACTATTCTTAATTGCAGACAGCAATACCTGAGTCCGTAACCCCGAGGTATGGCGTCTGGCTTAGTGATCAAAATCCCGGTCTGATGACGATAATTAACTCCGGGACAGGCCATTTGATCGTCCTCTCGCTCCGGGAGAATCGGAAAAGGAACAAAATGAACCACTGTTGACTTTTGAAATCTTTGTTATCTGTGGCTCAAGGCGCAGCACGTTGACGCGTCTTAATTTTCATGAAGCGCACTCTTAACTCAGATTAGCAAAAGTAAGAGATCCGAGTTAATAATCTGAGGAAAATGATGTGCTCACCGGATCGAGGGACTTGTTTGGCTGACGTTTCGAAGAACTGGGACGGCTCTCCACTATCAAAGCCTCTAGTGCAAACTCGATCAGAATTTTGAATAGACAGCCGAATTAGTTGACCTTGGGTTGATCATCGCCGTTTGATGCAACCCAAAGACATATTGCCATCCACTGAAAACTCAGCAGTTGTCTATCAAATACGTCGTAACGATGGAGACTGCAACTACGTGGGGAAAACCGGACGGAGATTGCAGACCCGCCTACATGAGCACAAACTAGCAACTCGGAGACTAGAAAGCTTGCGGCTCACATCGGGGAAACTGGTCACAGTTTTGATTTTTAAGGAGCAGCCGTCTAAGGCATGGGCACTTCAAGGACAGAGCGTCTCACACTTGAGGCTTGGCACTCAGATGCCAACTCAATCAAAAGGCATCTTGAACTTCCTTCAACCTATTAAGTCCTATGTCACTACATACGCCGTGGCAAAGACAAGACAGTCATACGGAGCCTAAAACTATCGAGAAAGCACGGCCTGTCGACCAATTCACCCAAAAGGGAACACCAACGCAAGTAACCCCAATTGAGGTGACGACACACAATACAGGAGGCAACCAACACTCACAAGCGACGGCCAGTAGGCCAAGGCAGCGAAGGGAGAAAAAAATCGATCAGCACAAGGCCAACTAATCCAGCTGTCTATTCAAAATTCTGGTTGATTTTTCACTAGACGCTTTGATAATGGAGAGCCGCCCCAGCTCTTCGAAACGTCAGCCAAACAAGTCCCTCGATCCGATGAGCACTTCATTTTCCTCAGCACTCCCGACTGTTACCTCGGCGGGCTAACTGGTACGTTGACGCATATCCCATACATCAATGTGTTTTCACCTGACCGACTGCCGGACCTTTGTGCATTTGTGCCATCCTTTTAATGAGGGGTGAAATTTGTAACCTAACCTGCCAAAAATTGAAAACTGACCGACAGACAATGTAGGAGTTGATTTCGGAAATGTCTGTCCATGTTATCAGTCCCATACATCCCTGAGACTTGATCCCCACTTCTTTGGCAATTAAACTAACAGTTCGGCACCACCTCTACAGTCACTGTTGAATTTAACTCGGGCTGTCACTCGAACTTAATTTCCCTTTCGTCACCCTGGGTTTTTACACCGCTTGATCGAGGGAAGCGTAATTTTTGGATGCCCACTTTATTGTGCTTCATGGTGTCGGGGCGTGCATACTCTGTCGTATCTCCGTTAATTGCCTTCTGTCCAATGATCTAGGTGAGCGGTTTTATCAACATTGGCGAATCCTATTATGGTCAGCTACGGCGTATCGACGGAGACCTGAGTACCGATCTTCCTGACTTGGAAAGGCATAATCCAGACTTCGACGATGACAACGTTTCCCAGTATCCTGCGTCACAGATGTCCTCGACCGGGCGGAGGGGAGCAACCGGTTGGTTTGCAAACCGCTTATTTTAAATGTGTATAATAGCACTACTTGCACCTGTTAAGTAGATCATGTGTATACGTTTACCGTAGGAGCGGGTGCCTCGGCTCAAACCTTGGCCGTCCTCCTCACGGACGGTGTGACGACAATAAAGGCAATCGAGCTTGGGATGCCCCGAAGACCTGTGGGCAACATCGACCCTGGGGCCAAATTTGCGCCCGGAAGGAAGGTACGCCTGCGAGGTCCGCTCAATATTCGAAAGGGTGTCCTTATATTGCCCAGTGGATCCTTCTCAGCGCACAACGTCCCAGAATCCCACTTCTATGTTCTTGGTGGTGAGGTGAGTGGTTATTTTGTGAATGTGAAGGGAGAAATCTAAAAGTTCATGAGAAGGCAATTTTTTATGCTGAGAAGCTCTCTAATCTCTGGGGCACTCCCCAGGCGTTCTGCATTCACGATTGAATTTAAAGCTCCTTGTAATCGAGGAATTGTTAGACACGGGAAGAGTTTGTTCCAGTTGTTAAACCCACAACTGTGATACGTTTTCAGGACTGTTGAAATATCTGGTTAGATTTTGACGAGGAGGAAAAAGGGCCTTACTTTCACATAATCTGGATCTTCAGCCATAGCACTTCTTCAAAAAGTGTTTCGATGAGTAATCAAAGTCTCGGGCGAGAAGGGAGATGGGTAAGTTGTTTGAACTGCTCGGTAGCGAGGTAAACTGTAGTGTTTTTCTGTTTCAGCCTAAAGGCGCGTCAAAAGTTGACGGGGTGTGGTTGAAGCTGTCGTCGTTACGCGGACGTTTGGAGACGTGGCGATAGTCTCGACGAGTAGATGGACGGACTATGCAACCATTAGATCTGAAAGAGCACTAGGAACCTTGAAAAGTGCGATCAGCAAAGGGACTGACTGTTACAGGATGCAGTCCCACTGTGATATCGACTCAAAAGGAATAAGAAACACCGATAGCAGAAGAGATCACACGAACGCTACAGTTGTTTTTCGACATTGCCTTCCTTTGTTTATTATAGAGCAGACACATTTTAGTGGAGCAACAATGCATGCGAGAGGAGTTATCCGTTGAAAATTTGTCGAACTGAACATATGAGCACCGAAAAACAACGCAGAAGTTCAACATTGGTGTCGTTTAAGGGGACCGGGAGCCGTTAGAAGAATGGTGGGACTTCTTGTGGATGTCATCGAAGCTCTCGGCATTGAGAAGTTGTCGTAGCCTATAAACAAGTCACAGTCTCAATGCCGTCTTCTCGGACATTCGATTAACGATGGAGGAGGTAGAAAACAAGCAGCTGGCCTTTCCGGATGTCCTCGTTTGCCGCAAGGATTGTAGTAGCCTAACAACCAAAGTGTTCAGTAAAGCTACAAATACGACGTAAGTACTGAACTTCAACGGAACCACCTGATTGGTCACGAACGCACTTGCATAAGGGCGCTATACCAGCGCGTCAAGACGCATTGGAGTGAAACGGAAGATAGAATTGCTAAGTTAAAATGTTTTCGACGGATACCGAGAGCTGGTGGCTACCCGCGCAACTTTTTCAACCAGTGCATGTGCAAACGACACTATGGACCAAATCCAGCCCGCCATTCATTATGTGAAGAACGTCTCTGAAGCCGTCAGCCGCCTTCTCACCCGACTTGGAGTTGGGGTAGCACGCAGGCCGGAAGCAACCATCAGGCACTAGGTCATGAGGCCGGAAGATTGAAGTCGATGTGTGGGTGTTGAGCAGAATCGATTGCTCGGTCTCCATGCTGGGATGTAACGACGTTGGAGACTGCCGTCCTTTTGAATAGGATACCAGGGATCAGAAGACGAAGATGCGACCACTGGAACGTGAAATTTATTGGCCTGACGTTTCGGATTCCCACTTGAACCCATCATCAGAGGCAGTCGCAGATAAGGTTAATGATGGCGCAAGGAGTGCAGTATTTATAGCACGTGTCTGCCGTGGGACCATATGCGCACTGTACTTAACAGTTCTCGTAATCACCACCGGGGTCGTAATTGATGCGATGGTGGCTTGTCAGCCCGCGTCCGAGTCGTTAATTGCCGCGATTTCGTCATCCATGTTGGATGCTGGTGTGACAGTTGCTCGGCAAATTTGCCCACTGTGATTGGTATAATTGCTCGCCCGCGTCCTCCCCACGTGGCTGATTCCCCTGCCCAGGGAAAATCTCAACACGGAATACGGTACCGGGAGGCCATTGCGCTTGTTGATGGATTGCGGGCCTGAGAACCATAACTCGAGCAGCTCGCGGCTCACGCAATTGTCACCCCTTGTGAGGATTCCGGTCTCTTGAAACTTGAAAACATGGCCGGGTCCCGTCGAGTGTGCCGCCACCTGAGAGCTCACGTCTCCCCGCCTCACTGCTGCTGCGTGCTCGGCAGTTCGCGTTCGCAGTAATCTTCCGGTTTCTCCGACATAACTGCTTTGTCGGCAACTGCACCGGATCCGTTAAACGACTCCAGACGTTTCCTGATGCGGCAATGGGCCATTCAGCCTCAAGGATGGTCTCCCGGGCACATTCGTCGCAAAAGCAGGGCCTTCAGCATGAGGTGAAGAAATGTCAGATGGAGTGGGCTGACACCCTTTAAAGCATCGCAGTTGTCGGGACGAGAATATTTCTCTTGGTAACCTCGAACTTGTCAGCGGACTACGGAAATACCCGACCGCTAAGGTCACACCGAGGTAGTTTTCGTACACAGAATATCGTGCGAAACAGTCTTGAAGGTAGGACTCAAGCGATGCTCATTCGCGCACAGAGTAGGCTTTTTCTAAGTCTCTGAAAGCAGAGCAGACCGTCGGAGTAACAGCGTCTGGGTTGCAAAACATATCATCATTCACCATTATTCTACAATAATTCAGTTACCTCGGGATGCCGACTTTCCAACGAACAAGTGCATCGAAAATCAGTGAGAAAAATGCATGCCACAGAAGTAGTCATTTTTTACAGAGTATAATTTTGCGTGCAGTAGGAAAGAAGTTCGTTCGAAAGTCGGCATCCTGAGGTAACTGAATTATTGTAGAATAGTACTGCTTGGTGGTTAGTTTTACAACACTACTTACTTAATCTTTTTAAAACGAATAGATATTTCGGAATTTCGGTTGACATTTCATGATTTAGCCCACCTACTGTAGGTTTGGGAGAGTAGAATAGGTACTTCGGAGTTTTTTGTCGTCAAGAAGACCCAACTAAAACCCGGCATCTTGTCCTGTATTAAGTAACTTGGGAGCGTATTGGCAGTGGCAGCAGGATCGGTATTAGAAGTAATAGTAACAGCAGTAGTAACATCGGTAGTAGTAGTAGTAGTAGTAGTAGTAGTAGTCATAGTAGTAGTAGTAGTAGTAGTAGTAGTAGTAGTAGTATCACCAATGTCAATGGCGATTGTAACGACGGCGGTAGTATTACTAGCAGTGACAGTAATAGCAGTAGGCGTACCGGCGTTAGTGAGAGTACTAAAAGTCGTCGCAATAGCAATAGCAATAGTAGTAGTAGTAGTAGTAGTAGTAGCTGTAGGCGTGAAAGTAGCAGTGCCAGTAGTATTGGCAGTAGTAGTAGTAGTAGTAGTTGTTGTTGTAGTAGTAGTAGTAATGCTAACAGTGACAGTAGTAATAGTTGTTGTTCTTGTAGTCTGGTACGGCAGATGCTGCCCAAGTCCGCCTCACTATAAACCAATCCACACCTGAGCCACCGTCCTGCTCTCCTTCCGCAGGGCATTTGGCGGGTGTCATCGTTCGCGACTGTCAGACTCTCAGTAGCGAACCCTCACCTGTATAGACCATCCAACTTGAAAGCATATTCAACCATTTCAGTCAGTATTTCGGAGGTCTCGACGCGCACGCTATTTCAGCCCCTTGCTTCTGTCTCCCCTCCGCTACCCCCCCTTTCTCTCTGTATGCGACAGGTGGAAGAACTCTCTTCTGATCCACTGGTCACCGCCACCGAGCTTCTGCGGAGCCAGCTGATGCAGAAGTTGGGTCTGCCGCAAGATCGCGAACCGCCCGACTGGTTCCCTGGTCGCAAGCGAGCGGTTTCTGCGTCTATGCCTACCAACCCAGCTCCAACCTCCGTACCTCCGTCTGCTGGCAGATGTCAACCACAGCCGCAGCATCCCCCGGAGGTTGCAACGGCAGTTCAGCCGCAAGCTGACTTCGACGACGATGCCCTCTTTGCCACCGTGATGGAGGAGTTGGAGACTGCTCTGCCCGCTGCCATCGAGCAGCCCACCAACGCTGGTAAGCCTCAATCTCCCCCTCCCTGTGTGTTTTTTGTTTGCCTAGTGGACAGGACAGCCGTTTCACCTGATGGGAGCAGCCGGTGTACTTCTCCAACGCCGTGGGTTTGTTATGGATAATGGGTTAACCGTGTCATGATGCCTGAGCAGCCGATGCGCCCGCCGTGTTTAGTCGTCTCGGTCTGATCCCGCTGTAACGTCTGGACGTTAAGGATACTCAGCGCCGCCGTTCGATCACTTCGGGGTCACCAATATGTAGTTTCTAATCGGTGAGAGTACTCGGAGCACCATGATAATCAGGCCAAGTCCTGAGTTGTAGAGGAAAACAAAAGGCACCAGAATAAGGGAATTATTGTCCACAGAACTCCGAGTTGCCCGTTCAGGTGGCAGTAGCCGCGGGCGAGACCACGGCATGTGCTGAATGCGTGAGTCAAGTGGAGGCAGCTGCTTTGATGGGTTTGGGGAGCATGCTCAAATGTCGTCCAATTGGTGTGGATTGCATTTGACATCATTTCTGAAAAAAGGAACCTCGTTTCAGCAAATGTCTGAAAATCATTTTAATATGGCTACTGACTGTATCTAAGTAGCTGGTTTCCCTTCGTGATACATTTTTACTCGCGACTCTACTCAAACCCGCATGCAAAGCTGCGACTGTGTGGACGCACGTGTGTCCGCGCTGTAGTCGGACGAGCAATTGCAGGTCAACGCGCCGGGGACCGTTAGCTGCGAAGGATGAATGGCCCTGAACAAGAATAATGGCTGTCGACAACGCTACCACCGAAATATGCTCTATAGGGCGACCCAGCCCCAACTACAAGGGGACCTACTAGTTGAACTACGTCGCCCCCCCCCCCCCAAAGAGCAATCTAATGAATATGCCCGCGTTGGTTATAACGAACGAGCTACCATGACCGGGTCCTGAAGCGAAATGATCGGAAATCACTCCATCCTCCGAGAGTCGCGGCAAATGTTTCGAACACACAGTACAGTGTGATTTTCGGTTAGATCACAATTGACAGCCAGGAATGGTGAAGCAGACGGCGGGGTCCCTGTCGTACGGGAATGGTGGGAAAGGGGTTATATGGGTGGGGTAAATGGAAGGGTGGCAAAGAAATGCTGGAGATTCTGGGAAAAAGTAAAGTTACTGGAGAAAGTGTTGGAAAATTTTGAGAAGGTGGAATAATGGCAGAAGTTTAAACCCCAACCTTAACTCAAAACCCAACCATTACCGCAATCGTAAAACCTAACCATAAGCCACAAAACAGAAACGTAACCGAAAGCCTAAAAACCGAAGCTAACCCAAACCCTACCCACAACCATAAACCTAACCCTGACCTTAACCATGACCCTAAAACTAACCTTAACACCAACCGTAATCATAAACGTAATCCTAACCCTAACCTTAGTTCTAACCCTAGCCTTAATCCTAGTCTTAACCCTAACCCTAACCTTAACCGTAACCCTAAGGGGAACCCCAGCGGGAACCTACACCGTAACCCTAACACTGAAATCTGACCCTGAAACGCAAACCCTTATCCTAAAACTTAATCTACGCCTAACCCTAACCCTCACTAAACCCAACAGCCTGACCGAAACGGGCGACCTGCCTAACTCGGTAAGAGCCCACCTACTGATAACAAGTTCTCTAAACAAGATAAGCACACATTCTGATAACAAGTAAGTACGTCGCGTGCGCGAGAACCCCTCCGGAGGAAAAGTCTCAAATGTTCGACCAGTTATTGATTGGACCACACGCATGAGCGAAGCCACCACACACGTGCTTGGTGCTGCAGTACACGCCGGTTGGCTGTCTAACCTCACGCGTGTATCACGTCGCCGGCTTGGCTCTCTGTTCAGCGCGCGCGGTCGAGTCTCCCTTGCGCCTTTGGCTGTGACTCCACGCCGCCTGTGCCCTCCATGACGGTAGCCAAGCCGAAAAATCGTTTTTTTATTATAGAAACCTTCGGTTAGATCGCAATTGACAGCCAGGAATGGGGAGGCAGATGGCGGGGCCCCTGTCTTACGGGAATAGTGGGAAAGGGGGTTATATGGGTGGGGTAAGTGGAAGTGTTGCTGGACGAATGCTGGGGTTTAGTGGAAAAATAAATTAAACGAAAAAAGTGTTGGGAAGTTTCAGTAAGCTAGGGTAATGGCAGAAATTGATAAAAATCCCTTGGAAAACAGCAGGGCTTGCGGAAAATGGAAGAGGTAGATAGTGATAGGATAACCCTAACCTTAACCCTAAACTTAACCTTAACCCTAACTCTAACCTTAACCCTTACCTTAACCGTTAACTATTAATTGTTAACCGGTAACCCTAACCCTGAAGCTGAATCCCCACCAAAAAGCCAAACCATAATTGTAAACCTAAACCCTAACCCTAACACTGAAGCCGGACTCTATAACGCAAATCCTAATCCTGAAACGTAACCTACGCCTAACCGTAACCCTCGTTAAACCCAACAGCCTGATCGAAACGGCCGACCTACCTCACACAGTAGAAGCACACCTACTGATAACCAATTCCGTAGGCAAGGCAAGCACACACTACTGATAACAAGTAAGTACGTCGGCAGTATCAACGTACAGCGCCTGGCTACCAACTGCGATCTTTCGTGACCTTCGAACACATCTTCAGCTTCTTTCACGGAACTACGTATGCGTGCTGCGGACTGTTTTTCGTTCTGTCATTAACGCAAGCATCAAGTATATTGCTAAAATTGCAGTCTTTAATCCCTTGTCGCTTTCTGTACCTCGTACTTTGACTTTTATTCGCACATACCATTTGCCTAGCGAAATCTGCGATGAGCGCGAAACTCGAAGAGCGTGAACTTGAGGACGAGGTGGATGCCGATGTGCTGGAGTCTGCCCTGCAGGAAATTGACTTTTCACCACACTTCTTGGGTCCCACTGCTGCCCTCGCAGCTGCCTCGACAGACCCTGGACCCTCGAAACCCTATCCTCCGCCTCGGACAGAGCAAGCATCCCCCGCGGGCACGAAAATCGCAGGCTCCTCAACGGCATGTCCGTCAGTCGTCAGCGGGGGCTATTCGATGAACCAACGCGCAGTACCACCGAGAATTCATCGTGCTGAGCCACTCTCGGTTGCTACTAAAAGACCCGTCAGCGGTGGCGGTGGCAGCATCCTTAGCTTCCTCACACGTCGCAGCGATGCGCCGACTTCGGAGGCAGCGTCTTCGTCCTCCTCCGCCGCCGCCGCTGCCGCCGCAACTGATTCTACCGCAGCCACCGCCTTGTCGCCATCGCCAGATGTCGGCAGCCGCTTTCATCCTTTTTGTTACCTGCAGGTAAGTGTTGTTGTTGTTGTTGTTGTTGTTGTTGTTGTTGTTGGTGGTGGTGGTGGTGGTGGTGGTGGTCGTCGGTGGTGGTGGTGTTGGTGGTGGTGGTGGTGGTCGGTGGTAGTGGTGTTGGTGGTGGTGGTGGTGTTGATGTACCCCTAAAATGGGCCACTCAGTAAATGTGTTGAACCAACAGAGGGACTGGATCGAAATCCAGCAGGCGTTGGAAATGCACACCCGTCAGATGTGGTGGCAGGACCAGTTTCCGCGAATTGGAATCATGTCGCCCTCCATTCACTATTTTTTGTTGTGGTATAAAATCCTTGTCGGTATACGTTGTGGACAGGGGTGGGTTAACTCATGAAATCTCGACCGAAATGCTTTATCCTTTCGAAAAGATTAATTAAGTAGGGTTGTAACACTGGTCAACCTGCAACATAATTCTGCAATAATTCAGTTGCCTCAGGATGTCGGCATTTGACTGAACTTCCTTCCGGCTGCATGTATAAACTACACTCTGTAAAAAAATGCCTACTTACATAGCATGAATTTTTCTCATTAATTTTCGGTGCCACTAAATATCCAATTATATTTCATGGAAAACATGCATAAAAATATTCATTCTTTTACTCATTCCGTAGAAAATTACGCCATTTCACGGTATTTAAAAGTCCCACAATTAGAAACCTTTTTAGAACCGAATTATACCCTTCCTTCGAGTATAAAATTGGAAGAAGAGGTAATAATATTGTAGGCTGACTAGCTTTACAACCCTAGTTAATTAATATTTTTGGAACGAAAACGCATTTCGGAATTTCGGTTGACATTTCATGAGTTAGCCCACTTACTGCACGTTGTGGCCGGGGGGGGGGGGGATATGGTGGCACACCTAGGTGCGGGTCCACGCAGTGCCAACCGCCTGCGCCCTCTCCCGTCCCCGGTCTTCTTGACTTGGTCATGACACCGGGCCAAGGTGGGGCAGGAGGAGGAGAGAGAGCGCGGTAGGCTCTGCGCAAGTCTGCTATCACTATAAGCTGATTCACGTGCAAAACGCCATCCCTGTTCTCCGCACACGGTGGACACCGCCGGCAACGATGGTTGAGCGGTCCTTGGCGTTGATAACGATGAAGATGACATTTTGGGTCGGATAAATTGCATGTTACAGCACTGTTGACCCCCAGTAAGTCCAACGAATGTATGCGGTCATTCGCTGACCGTCCAAAAAGTCGGTTAAGCCGCCTCTTGCCGTACAGTGGCTGCGTGAGAGGGAGCTTCCTTTAGTTTCTCCATTTGAAGCTGGAAGTCCATTACCTCGCACGCACACCAGTCAAGGCAGCCAGGATTTTGTCTTATGATAGAAAATGCCCCATTTACTAGTGGTCTACGTTCGCCGTGTCAAAATGTGGTTGCGGCCCGTAACATTCTACACTGGTACAGAATTTGTCGTTTCAAAAGCTGCAAATACTCAGTAATGTGACCCAAGAGCATACTTACTACGCGCCTAGTCGTTACTATATCCCGTTACACCATACGTAACCTGTTGTCGGTTCGGGGTAGGTCGTAATCGAGCGCTCTCTATCTTCCCGCTGCCACTGCCTAACAGCAGTCCATGGCGTCTCGGTTACCATTTTCTTTGGCGACTGGACTCGCTCAGACTGAACCTGACCCAGCACGCACGATCGTAATCCCCGGCATGTGGGTGATCAGTTAGGGACCCCCGTGGGATTCATGACAATATAATTGACTCTGTCTCTTGGGACGCGCAGGACATGCGCCCAATGGTCGACGCGGCTGTGCCTGGAGCCTGAGATAGCTATTTATAAAACTAATCAGATGCATGTATATGTATATGTGTAGGCACTATATATATATATGTATATATAGGTACTAACTAAAAGCCCAGACACGTGTTTCGTCGATATTCTGTCGCTGCGTGACACAACTGCGAGGGGTTCGGCTCTTCAGTGGGACCCCCAGCGTTCTCTATGCGGTTTCTGACATATGAACTCAGTGGCAGAATGTCGACGAAAGACGTGTCTGGGCTTTTAGTTAGTACCTATGTCGAGAGTACTGTATAATAGTGCGGTGTACACATTTCATACTACTCCTAGTACTACTTGTTTGTGGAATGGTCATTACGTGGTTATTCCACGCTAGTCGATTGGTTCCGACTCAAATATGCATTGAAATTTCGGTTCTGACCCAAAAAGTCGTGTCCCGGTGACTTAGCTCCGTGTCTTGCACTGAGTAATTACTGAAACTATTCACTTGGTATATATATGTTTTAGAAAGCAATAAGTCCTTTGGGAAATGCAACAAACTTTATTCCGTGAATTTTCGACACTGGTTCCTCAGGTCGTCTTCATACTTATAGCAAATATGCAAAACAGTCAACATTTTAAGTGCCGAGAAAATCGATACTGCCTTTTAATTCCTGCCGGCAGTTCAGGGCCTTGGTTGACGCATCGTGTTGATTGGCTGTGGTCTTTTCCATCTTTCCCCGAGGTTATTGTAAACGGCGTCTGGTTCAATGTGCCGGTTAGTGCATGAATATGCCTTCCAAAAATCACGGCCAGAAAGACAGATACCAACAATTCGAGTTTTGTCCCAGGCAAGTTTGTAACCATTTTCCAATGTGCGCGTGGCAACTTGAGGCAAATTGTCTCGCCTCCTCACGGCTAGTTGGTGTTCGTGTATGCGTGTAGAGGCCGGCTTAGGGAACCAGTGTCTAAAATTTGCGGAATGAAGTTTTTTTGCATTTCCCAGAAGACCTATTACTTTCTAATCAAACTCCTTGGGATGGTCATCCTTCTATACACCTGACAACGACCTGGGCAACCAGCGTCGAACACTTATGAAATAAAGTTTGTTTGATTTCGCAAAGGACTTATTTTTCTTTGAAATACATGTATATACATCGCGAATGATAGCAAATACGCATGGCCCAGGTAATTGAATAGAAGAAGACGAGAAAGTGATCGCTGGGGCGTTTCGAACTGTCACTCGAGCCTATCGTCAAGGCATGAAAAAACTTTACAATTCATCGTATATTTAGCGCACCTCTGCCAGGGGTGACTTCTATCTGCGCTGCTGATTTTTTCATGCAATGCTGGATAGGCGATTGGCAGATCGATATATCGATTGATTAAGTCCTCAGTTGAGTGCCACACTTCTTGCGCAGGTGCGCAGCTCGGTCGTCTGGCTGGCCAAATATTCTCACGCACTCTAAGCCGAAATTGTGCCCTGGCGAAGAGACGTGGGCGCCTACCAATGAGAGTATCTTTCCGTGTCACAGCCGACTCATGTTTGTGCAATGTCGTGTAAACCTGTTTGCCGGTTTCACCAGCGTAACTGACCCGACCACAGTTGCAGTCTTTCCGGCAAATGACCCCTGATTGATGATGGAGATTGGGGAATTTGCGCAACATCTGAAGTCGATCTTCCCAGATATCCAGTTCATGATGGAAGAAGAGAACGATTGCCAGCTGCCCTTTCTCGACGTATTGGTTCAGAGAAAAGACGATGACGAACTAAAAACAACGGTTTACCTCTCGTAGTCCGAGTTGTCTCAGCAACCACCCCCTTTCGCACAAAAGCAGCTGTGCAGGAACACTATCGGCGTGAAGAAGCCTGTTGCACCAAACCAGCCGACAAAACGTCCGAGGCCCAGCTCCTGTGGAAACGCTTCGTAACTAATGGCTTCCCTGAGAACTTTATCCAAATGTGCAGGCGAGAAACCCCGGGAAGAAAAGCGAAGGGGCAGCCGAAACCGAAGTGCTGGCGCGCAATGCTGTACATAGCTGGTGTGTGAGAAGAATTTCTCTAGACTGGTGAACGAATTTAGGATTAACGTCGTTCACAGATCTGAAGCAGCAATCCGCCGGCAACTCAGTGTTATGTTGGTGAAACCGACAGTCAGGTTCACACGAGATCGCACAAGCCTGCATTGGCTGTTAGACGGAAAGTTAAACTGGCCTTGGTATCCGCCCACGCCTCCAAGTAACGCGTATGGTACCACCACTGCGCCCCCTCTGAAGTGCTCCAGCCACAGACCATTATCATATCTTGTTGATGGGGCCCCATTTTTATGAATTCTAAAAACTTCTATGCTTATATCACTCCTTCTCTGAGCAACAGGCGCGGCCATTTATATGCCTCCTTGTACAGCGGGTCTGAGTGCTTGCCAGTAAGTGTAGTAGGATCGAGGACCGCTTTGCTTTATCCGCAGCGTTGCCTATCTGTTCTTGAGTGCGCTTTCAAACCAACCAATCCGCACAAAGCTACAGTAACCAATGAGAATGCCACTCTCTCTCTCTCTTTGTAGGATCTATACCATGAGGTGGTTGGTAAGCCGCAGGCCGCCGAAGCGGTCGCCTTGAAGCCGCGGAAACGACTGCGCGGTGTGTACACTGTGCGTGCTCTATTGATGGGCCTGCAGTCCCGATTGACTCACAACAACGGCGAACGCTGGTCTCTGAGCGTACGCATCTCCGATGGCAGTGCCTCCCTCGACGCCGAGGTGGAGGACGAACTGCTACGCAGACTTATCGGAGTTTCTGCGGTGGAGGCGAAGGCGATGCATCAGCTCGGTCGACAGGGTTATGAGGTACCTCCCTCCCCCCCTACCCCCGCGACCTCGCATACAGTAGGTGGGCTAACTCATGAAATGTTAATCGAAATTCCGAAATGCATTTTCGTTTCGAAAAGATTAATTAAGTAGGGTTTTAAAACTAATCGGCCTGCAGCGTAACTCTATAATAATTCGGTTATCTCAGGATGCCGGCTTTCTAACAAACTTCCGTCCGACTGCATGCAAAAACTACATTCTGTAAAAAATGACTACTTAAGTAGCATGATTTTTTCCCACTGATTTTCGATGCCCCTAGAAGTCCAATTATATTTCATGGAAAACATGCATAAAAATATTCATTCTTTCGCTAATTCAATAGATAATTACGTCCTATTCCAATCTTATACTCGAGGGAAGGGTATAATTCGGTTTTCTAAAGCTTTCCCAATTCTCGAATAATTTTGAAGCCGCTCTACTGTTACACTTGGATTCGGGGTTTCCAAACTACAAGCCGTATATTTTCCGCGTACGGAAAGCTACACATCTCTCTTGCAGTAATAAAGGGGGACCATATAGGGTTCATAAAATTTAGCAGTGGATTTGATCCATTTTGTTAACTTTACGAGCCACATTGGTAAATGCAGAGAAATGACGATTTATGAACGGCCATTTGACGGTATTTAAAAGTCCCACAATTAGAAACTGTTTAAAACCGAAGTATGTTCCTCCTTCGAGTATAAAATTAAAAGAAGACGTAATTTTCTACCGAATGAGCAAAAGAATGAATATTTCTATGCATGTTTTCCATAAAAATGTTATTGGGCCTCTAGGGGCATCGAAAATCAATGAAAAGAATCCATGCTACTTAAGTAGTCATATTTTACAGAGTGTTGTTTTTGCATGCAGCGGGAAGGAAGTTAATCCAAAAGCCGGCATCCTGAGGTAACTGAAATATTATAGATTTATGTTGCAGGCTGATTAGTTTTACAACCCTGCCTAATGAATCTTTTCGAAACGAAAACGCATTTCGGAATTTCGGTTGACGTTTCATGAGTTAGCCCGCCTACTGTACTCTTTGCCGTTTTTTCTAACGTCCAGTTCGTCTTGTCATTGTTGGGCCATTCTGAAATAATTCAGAGCGGATTTAGTAAGGGCACCTCGCTCATCCGGTCACGGGACCGTTGCGGTTTTTTCCTCCCACACTTGACACATTCCACTTGCTCATGCCGCAATACTTAGACCTTATCTTGAGTGAACCCGTCTGCCTGCCTTCTGTAGTTCAGTACGGAATTGGGTTAATGGACTCCATTGGGTTTTAGCCTCGAGACCCTCCTCGCTGTCGACCAGCCGGCTGTCGTGGCAGCCGGGAAAGGTCTTGTGCCACGTAGGTCTTCTGGCTAGAGGAAACCAATAATGCAGAATCTCTGACAGTCGTCGGGTCCTTCATCTTCCTGCTCCTCGACGTTATGGGTCATGCTGTTTGCGTTAGAAGGAGCCGACCTAGCCGACCCTCTCGCAAGCCGCAAACACGCCGCCTCATCGATTCGCCCATTTTGGCGTGCGCGTGGCGATATCGCGCTGACCACTGCCAGGATTGGAAGGGCGCCCAGCCACTCAGATGAGTCAGAAATCTAGGCGACTTACTACCAGCTCAAGGGCATGATGTGATTGGCTCAATTCCTGGCCGGCCTTGGACTTCTCCGTGTGTACCTTTTATCGCCAGATTTTCGCTGTTAGGACTCATCAGTAAACTTTGTCTTATTTTATCCTCGCTGTTGAGTTCTCATTTGGGGATTCGGCCGGAACATGACGATATGTACCACCTAGGTCTTATGACTCACAGCTCACTGTCAAAACTCGGTGCATGAACTCACAATCGCACCGAACACTCCTGACCTTTGACGAGCATTGGGTGAAGGATTTCTGACCAATCTCTGTGCGTGTGCCGTCAACTAGAAACACAGGTCATGTGGTGTAGAATAGAATACTCTAAAGGAGAGGGTGGGTCCTAGGATAGAGGTCTGAGGAAGCAGACGAGTTAACCGGTACAAATTTATTTTTTTATCTAGTGTTCAGGGTCGTTTGGACTGCGTACACGTACCGACGGGCACAGAAGCATCCCATCTTACAGTGCTTTACCGAGCTCATGAAATGTGTCGAAATTTACGAATGATTGCCAATCACTCGCAAACCGACACCATTTCATGAGTCCAATGTCTATGTTCATGAAGTTCAAGTCTGAAAGAATTAAAAACGTAAAAGAAATATTAAAGGCAGTGTTGCGTTGTTTTTAAATGCCGATTTTTTTTTAAAAAAGCGCACTATCCCGAAAACGTTAGAAATGGCTCTAATTTAGTAAAGTTCCTTTTTAGATGTACAGAATGTATTCTCATGCCGCAAACGTAGTAAATATGAAAGTACAAATGAAATAACGTTTAATAATAGTGTTTCACTGATCTTTACATCTAACTATCCTTTAAGAATTTGTGTAATTTCATACATGGCGGTTTTTCAACTGTCCACATTCTGAGTGTAGATTCAAAAACAGTTTTCCACGGATTCGTGGTATTCTTGACTCGTTTGAAGTAAATTAGATGACGTTCAACAAGAGAAGCTGGATTTTGCCTGATTTTACCGATGGGGACCTTGTAGGAACAAAGGTTTTCATAAGGTGACATGCTGTCAGGTCGATCGGTGCCTAATAAATTTAGATAGAACTGACAGGCGTGATCGTAAGCATAAAATTTTGTGTTTATGGAGAGAAATTAAATTAACTTATAATTAGTCAATCAATAGTAATTAATTAACTTAATTAATTCACACTTCCTGCGTTTTGGATTACCTTGAGTTTCAAATCGGCCTTCAACTGTTGCTGAATACTTCATGTTTTCAGTGTTTTCGCCCGATCGTCCATAAGGACAGATTCTAAATTACCTGTCCCTTAATAACTTTAAAATAAGATTATTCTTAAAGGCATTTACTCAATTAGTGAGTGTTCCGCGCCCCTTTTTACGGAGATAGTCGTTTGGGTCACATGTGAAGACTCATTCAAACATCAAGTTTCATTGTCTAGAAAAATGGCTGTCCACAACGAATTTCAGCAACTAATATGCCTTTGATAAATACGAAAACTTTTAAAAAAGTGCTTTATTACTGCACTCCGTTGGCGCATCTCTGTGTACTTTGCACTTTTGCACTGTGAGGCTAAGTAAAAATTTGAAACTTTTGGCCGTTTATTTCACGTTCCTAAACAATACTAGTATTCTTCTACCGTAAACGTAAGAACATGCCTATACATTGAGGCCATTTTCACTGTTTTCGCTCGCTTTTGGACCCCGTTCTTCGATTTTGAATGCACGACAGAGCGCCCAATTAAATATGATACTTTTCTGAAACTATTAATGTTTTGCTCGTTCTACTTCTGAATAAGGTATACATAGCAACTAAACTACACGACAAGTAGTGTTTCAAATGTGTCAAATGCGATGATGACGCAGAGAAGTTGCAGTCGAACATCAACAAACTCTGTGCTTGGTCGAACAGATGGCTTTTGAAGTTTAACGTGTCCAAATGCGTGGTCTTGCACCTGAACACCGGCCGCAATGCCTCTCCCAAACACCAGTACTATATTGACGGGACGAAGTTAGAAACTGTGGAACGACACAGAGATCCGGGTGTATGGACGACCACAAATCTATCGCCATCAGAACACTGTAGAAAGATGGTCGAGAAGGCAACTAGTACTCTACACTGGATCAGACGTGCATTGAAAATATTTCCTCCCGAACTTCTCGAAAGACTCTTTGGTGTCTTTGTAAGACCTCATCTAGAGTATGGAATGCCAGCAGCTTCACCATGGATGAGGAAGGATATCAACTTACTCGAACAGGTGCAACGCAGAGCGACAAAGATGGTCGACGGTCAAGAGCATTTGTCTTATCAGGAGAGGCTGAATTTGCTTGGCCTATTCCCTCTCTCTTATAGACAAATAAACTGCAGTCTACTCTGGACGTTCCGGATTGTTCGCGGCCAGGGTTGCTCATTAAGAGCAGAGGACTTCTTTGAGTTCGCCCGTACAAACCAACTACGCGGCCATGCATACAAAGTCGGGAATGAGCGCACGCGTTTAGACCGACGAAAATTTTTTCATTCAGCCAGCGGGTTGTCAGGCCGTGGAACTCGCTTCCAAGCGAGATGGTGACGGCTGATGCAGTTTGTGTGTTTAAAAGAAGACTTGCTAGTCTAGTTTTCGACAGAAATAAACTTGTACAGCATGACTATGCACAGCCAGTTTTGTAAAATCTGTCATATACAATCTTCCGCACTAATTTACAGTGACCCCATGCACTACATTATGATTACAATTGAACTGTGACCCAATCACATTTTAAATGCCTACAATTTAATTCTATTTTTGGGTATGAATCTGCGAAAGCACTGTACATAAATAGGGTCATCAAGGGCTCTGCCTGTAACCCTTCAATATACATACATACACATATGTATACATACATACATATGGTAAAGGTATTATACCGTACTCCCGACCTAGATACTTGCTAAAAGCCCAGACACGTGTTTCGCCGATATTCTGCCGCTGTGTGACACAGCTGCGAGGGGTTCGGCTCTTCAGTGGGACCCCCAGCGTTCTCTAGCGGTTTCTGGTATATGAACTCCAGAGAATAATCAGGTGAATAATTTCGGAAATTAATCAGTGCAGAACTTGGAGTTAAATCTCCGGGACATGACTTTTTAGGGTCAGAACCGAAATTTCAATGAACATTTGAGTCGAAGACAATCAACTACTGTGGAATAACCACGTAATGCCCATTCTACAAACAAGTAGTACTACGAGTAGTATGAATTTCATATGGTAAAGGTATTATACCGTATTATGTTCAAAAGTGAAAATGACCATTCGGTGGTTGTCATTTATGTGACATCAGGTAGAATTTTCCAAACGGCAAAACAACTTCAGCACATTTAAACGAATGATTCTTTATATGCGTTATTAATGCACTTTAGGGCCTAAAATCGCACAGATCTGCTAATTCGACGTCTAGGAACCGATTAAACCTCTGGTTTTCTTTAAATAACCTTTGCGTTTGCAAGTTGGTTACCACGGTTAGCATCGGACATAAAATAAATTTTCACGTCCGGCTAAATATGTTTATTAAAACTCTCGCGGGTAAATTACTATCCTTTCAATGAAAAAGTAGCATAGGAAATTGCACAAATATATTCCAACGTCCATTTTCGCCAAAAATTACGGATATTTTACTTGATATTTTACTTGATATAAACAATTCCTGTGCAAGAAAAAGACATTTCACTGAAGGAAGTGGATGAGCGAACAAGATGCGCAACGTTAAAGACGTCCAGAAATTCTCACATCAGTTTACGTTATCAGAGATAGGTCGCGTACAGTACGTTAGTGCGCGTGTCGGTTAGCGTGAACATCGACCGCATCGTCCGCTCAACGAGGCTCCCATCAATTTCTAAAAGTGCGTGTCGGACCGCGTATACACTATAACAACATCAGCAGACCATGCGTGCCCTCAGGCCATGCCAATCTGGAAATTTGATCTTCATCTCTGAAAAACCCTTTTTCATGCGAGAGATCTTGGCTCTCACAAGACGTTCGGAAGTATCTGGGCCGCTGGGTGTGCTTCGCAAGCAGACCAGCACGTAGTTCGATGGCCTCATAAATTCAAATATATTTTATAGAAAACAAGCACAACAGTAGGTCTTCTTTTACTCGGTTGGTAGATAATCACGTTTTCTTCACACTTTATATCGGAAGAAGGAGTATATTTAGGGTTTAAGGAAGTTTACAACCATGAGAATCTTTAGGACCGTCCGAAATCCATTCATACATCAGCGTAACTGTCCGTTTGACAATGCTTTTCATGATATGTACAGCATAGCCCGCATCCATTGATAAATTTCATGAACTCTATATGTTATCTTTTTGGAGACACGGAGAAATATTTGATTTTCCCTACGTGGAAAACATGCACCTTGTAGATTTACGTCGCTAAACGCTAGTGTAAAGGCTGATAAGGCTGAAAATTATCCAAGGATCGGGAAACTTTTTCTAAACCTAAATATACACTTTTTCGGGCATAAAATGCAAACAAGACGTGATTTACTATCGAAAGAGTAAACAAAAGCATATTTTTCTGCAGGTTGTCTATAAAATACTTTTGAATTTATAAGACCATCGAACATGCACGCTACATAAGTAGTCATTTTGTACCGAGTGTGGTTTCCGTAGTAGTTCAAAAAGGTGTTTATGCAAAAGCCGACATCCTAGCGAGTCCGAAATACAATAGGATTATGCCACATGATAATACATATTACAACCCCACCTACGTAATCCTTTCTAATCGAAAACGCACTTCGGAATATCGGTCAACATTGCGTGAGATCGGTCACCCACTGCATTTGTGGTTCAGAAAGTTTTCTACTGAAGGTGAATGCACTTCAAATCTGTTTTATAGTAGAAATTAGGCCACATTAAACACAATCAACAGTTTCCAAATAACCAAGTAATTTCTTACGTCTTTTTCTATCACATGCCTGAGCCTCCTCCTTTTGTGTGTTATGTTATAAAGGAACATTATTAGAAGCGAGCCGATTTTCGAGTACATCCCTATTTGGAAGCGGAAAGTGGGATTTAACACCTATAAAAATCAGTGGAATTCGGGTCTACGAAATCGCATTGTTTGCAAGAACGAGAGAGCAAAGTTAGACTTAAATACTATTTTACGAAATGGTTGTGCGAATGGACAAATACGCTGGATATAGACACCCTGACCACGTTACTCGCGTCAGCCCGCGAAGACTACTGCCCCTGTGCCTTTCGCGATAACCCGGCGACATGTGTGCGTTCCAGTCCTCGACAATTGGGCGTAGATGTGTAGCCTTTTTCGCTGCTGGATCCGAAAGGTCACCAGACGAATAAGATTCCTCCTCCTCCGGCGATCGTGTCGCTTTCCTCTCAACTGCCGCCTTGGGCTCACATTTTTCGCATGCGTCAACTTTCACGGACGCCAGCCATGGGCATTTTGAGAGCCAGTCGCCATTACCTTGTTACTGACTGGGGAACAGAACTGCCAGCATGGTGTTCACAGTACCGAAGCAACTTTACTGGTGCGATGCGAGTCAACCACCACCTCTCAAAATGCCCTATGGCTGATGGCTGCCGAACAAGCTATTGGAGTATTGTTGCAAAGAAACGATCAACGGATTTGTCTGTACGATTAGAGCCCCTCTGTGGACCAGTCATCTGACTGGGCTCTTCTCATCGCGATGGCGGCCTAGATGACAAAATATGTGATAAATTACTGCCCTAAACGCATATTTCTTCAGTCCCTTATCTTGACGTACTGTAGGTGGGCTAACTCACGAAATGTCAACAGAAATTCCGAATTGCGTTTCCGTTTCGAAAAGATTAATTAGGTAGGGTTATGAAACAAATCATCGTGCATCATAATTATATGATAATTCAGTTACCCCAGGACGCCTTTTAGCTACATCCAAAAACCATACTCCGTAAAAAATACTACTTAAGTTGCATGCATTTTTTCATTGATTTTCGATGCCCTTAAAGATTTGATTATATTTCATGGAAAACATTTACAAAAATATTTATTCTATCGCTCATTCAGTAGAGAATTACTTCTTATTCTCATTTTACACTCGAAGGAAGGGTATTATTTGGTTTTATAAAAGTTTCTAATTGTGAGATTTGTTAATACCGTCAAATGGCCCTTCATAAATTGTCATGTCTCTTCATTTACCAATGTGGTTTGTAAAGTTAACAATGTGGCTCAAATCCACTGCTTAATTTTAATGAGCCCTACATGGTCCCCCTTTACTACCATAGCTTGTAGTTTGGGAACCCTGAATGCAAGCGTAACGGCACCTAGTTGAAACTCGAGACGCCAACCTCATTTGTGTGAGACCCTACTGCGTGTTTGCGGTAGCCGGGTCGTGCGTGTGGCCCGCGCAGACGGGCTGTCTTTAGCCCTGTCGGTCAACTCTTCCTATCATAACACCAGTTGATTGACTGGCTCAGACAGTCGACCGGCACACGGAAAGGAGAAATAAGACTGAGGTCAACTCGTTGAATGAGCTGCAACTTGAGAGCTGGCGTCATTTCTCCGCACCGTTGCAGCCTGTTCGGCCACTCGCGTTAGGAGCTGTCTTCCGGTTTCTCCGAGGTAGTTGCTTTGTCCGCAACTGTACCACATCCGATAGACGACTCCAGACGTTCCTTGCCGTGGCAGCGGGTCATTCGGTTTCATCACCAGACACCCGATAGTTGGCTCCGGTCTGTCTGCAATTTCAACGCCAAATGGTGCGAGGCGGCCGACGGCTTCCGAAACGTTCTTGACATATGGAAGCACTCGCCAAAATTTGGTGTCTGTGAGGTTAGGCCCTTCGTCCCTTTTGCGTATGCACCGGTTGAGGAAGTTGCGCGGGCAGCCATTGGCTATGAAGACCCGTCGGATGTATTATAATTCGGCAATATTCTCTACCGGAAGACCCATCAGGCGTCAGGTTATGAAAGCGAAAGACCCACTGCCATGGCTAGAAACGTCTGGAGTCGTTTATCGGATCTGGTGCAGTTGCGGACAAAGCAACTACGTCGGGGAAACCAGAAGACAGCTCCGAACGAGAGTGGCCGAACACGCTGCAGCAGAGAAATGACACCAGTTCTCAAGTTGGGCTCATTCGACGAGATCCGGCCACACTTTCAAATTCGTCGAGGCCCAAATTCTCGCAAGAAATAAGGTCAACTCTCAGCGCATATTCCTCACTATAAACAACCTAACGCGCTTGAGCCTAACACGGTCCGTTTAAATCCGTGGCTTTGAAGGTTACCAACTGACGATTCAACGTAGCCCTCGAGGTCAGCCCAGTGTGTAGTTGGGCATAGTGGCCGACTTGCTGACTTCCTAATGTAGCCTTCATAGTACTCCGAGCCGCCCTCCATATCTGATGTTCTGATCGATTATTTGTAGAGCAGGGGGTGTTGCGACACGCCTAGGTACGGATTCATGCCACGCCAGCCATTTGCACCCTATCTCCTCTGGTGTTATTAACTCTGTTATGACACAGCGCACAGCCGGAAGTGGAGGAAGAGAGAGTGCAGTAGACGCAGCGCAAGTCCGCGCAAGCTACCGTCCCTGCGGCCACTCTGCCGTGGGGCGCACGGTAGACATAGTCAGAATCGGTGGTAGAAGCGTGGTCATGTGTGATGTCGTTTTTCACTGCGGAAGAGTGGGAAAACCAATGGTGTGTGCAAAGGACGGGGGAGGGTGTTCATTCACCCCGTCAGCATGATCAAGGTAAGGAGGAGTCGGCAGGATCCTAAGCGTCGTGGGAAGGCGGTCAGGTGAGGTCGGCTGGATAAGGCAGGGACGGGGGGGGTGGGTGGGTGGAGTGCGAAACCGGGGGTAGGTGAGTTGGTGAACACGGCTCGTCAGCTGTTATGACACGCCGTCCCTCCTTACGGTTGGCAATGCGCACAGGGGGGGGGCGTTTCCCAACGTTCCGAAAGGGAGCGTTTCGTACCGAAAGGACAATAGCCCCTGGAGGTATGACGATCGCTCCGCTGTCAGGTGCTTGCGTTGTCACTGCAGATCCAGTCGGTTTCTCAGCCGCCCTCTCCCCCAGTACATCTCTTTGACGTTCATTTGGTGGCCGGTGGTCATAATTAGTGGTTGGGAATTCTGTCACACCTCATATGGCGTTGGGTTTTTCTTAACTTTTCCCAATAATTAATCCAGCAAGTCAGTCTACATCTTAAAGGGTAGGGAGGTTCAACCGTGTGTGGTGGGTCCATAGTCCCCTGCTCAACCTCATAATTTAATTATTGGCGTCTTCACGCCGCCCCACTTCTTCCTGCAGTCTTGGCACTACTACTACTACTACTACTACTACTACTACTACTACTACTACTAACGCTGGTACTAATACAACCACTTCCACCACCACTTCTGCTGCAAATACCACAACTGCAACTACTACTGATTCTACTACCATTAATACCACTGCCACCGCTACTACCGCCACCAATACGATCACGATCACCACTGATGTTACTATTACTACTGCTGCTGCTGCTGCTGCTACTGCTGCTGCTGCTTTTACCACCACTGCAACTACTGCCGATATCACCACTACTACGACTATTTTACTACCACTACTACTACTGTTACTGCCGCTGCTTCTACCACTGCTGCTACTACTACCACCACCACCACCACTGCTACTACTATTACTGCTCCTACTGTTGCTACTACTACTACCACCGCTACGACTGCCATCACTTCTACTACTACTACTACTACTACTACTACTACTACTACTACTACTACTAATACTACTACTACTACTACCACTACTAATACTACTACTATTTTACTACCAATACTACAACCACTGCCACTAGTACTAATACAACCACCAACACCACAACTGCAACTACTACCGCAACTTCTGTTGCAACTACCACCAATACTACTACAACTGTTATGACGACGACGACGACTACTACTACTACTACTACTACTGCTACTACTATCACGGCTACCACTACTACAATTGCCATTACTACTACTACAACCACCACCACCACCATCATCATCATCATCACCACTACTACTACTACTACTACTACCACTGCAACTACTACAACAACTGCTACTACTACTTGAACCGATACAAACAAAGATGCGAGTTCCAGAAACTAGTTGATCAGAAGAAGAAGAAGAAGAAGAAGAAGAAGCGATCGCTGGAACAAGGGCTTTATTCGCCTGACGTTTCGGATTCTCCCTTGAATACATCATCAGAGACAGTGGCAGATGAGGGCGACTCGTGCACAGGAAGTTGCAGTATTTATAGGATGGAGTCGCTACGCTACCGCATACCTATAGCAATTAGCCGCGCTCCTCCTCATCAAGGATGGCTGCCCGCTGGTGCGGTAATTGCTTGATGGCCGGCGTGCAAGGTGTTAATTGCCGAAATGTTATCACTCGTGTTGGATGCTGGCGTGATGATTGCTCGGCCATCTGATTGGTCAATTACCTTGGCCAGCCATGGCGTCAGCACGGAGTATGGAGTGGGCATATCGTTGAACTTGTTGATAGACTGAAGTCACGTGAACCATGACTTGAGCAGCTCGCGGCTCACGCGATTATCCCGTCTCGCGAGAATTTCGGCCACATCGAACTTAAATGTGTGGCGTGGTCTCGTCGAATGCGCCGCGACGTGTGAGTCGGCGCCATTTATGCGCACCGCTGCCGCGTGTTCGGCAATTTGCGTTCGGAGCAGTGTTCCAGTTTCTCCGACGTAGTTGCTTTGTCCGCAACAGCACCAAGTCCGGTTAGCGACTCCAGATGTTTCATGCCGTGGCAGTGGGTCTTTTGGTCTCATCACCTGACGCCTAATGGTGAAGGCGACTAACGGCCTCGGGTGATGACATTTCGGCAGTTAACAACGTGCATGTCGACCATCAAGCAATTACCGCACCAGCGGTCAGCCATCCTTGATGAAGGGGAGCTCGGTAAATTGCTACAGGTATGCGATAGCATAGCGACTGCATCCTATAAATACTGAGATTTCTTGTGCACGAGTCACCCTCTTCTGCCACTGTCTCTAATGATGGATTCAAGGGAGAATCCGAAACGCCAGGCGAATAAAGCCCTTGTTCCAGCGATCGCTTCTTCTTCTTCTTCTTCTCCTTCTTCTTCTTCTTCTTCTTCTTCTTCTTCTTCTTCTTCTGCTTTTTCTTCTTCTTCTTCTTCTTCTTCTTCTTCTTCTTCTTCTTTTTCTTCTGATAAACTACTTGATCTGCTACTACTACTACTACTACTACTACTACTACTACTACTACTACTACTACTAATAATAATAATACCACTACTACTACTGCCACTAATACTACTACCACCGCCCCTACTACTTTTGCTGCTGCAACTGCTACTACCACAACTTCAACTACTGCCAAGACTACAGCCACTGCCGCCACAACCATTGGTATTATTATTACCACAATCCCTACTACTGCTGCTGCCACTACTACAACTACTAACTTCACAACCACTACTACTATTACCACCGTCTCTGCTGCTGCTGCGGCGACTAATACTACTACTACTACTACTACTACTACTACTACTACTACTACTACTACTACTATTATCACTTACTTTCGTCATCTTGTCCGCGTGATCTGTGCTTCTTCTGCGTTTACTGGCTTCTTCTTCATCATCCCCACCAGGCCCAAAAACTTCGTCTGCAGTCAGTCTTCTCGTCTTTCCAAGACCGATTGTTCCATCTCAACGGCCTCTTCGACGTTCTAATCTCTGATGACATGGATTCCACTCCACCGCGTCTCATCAATTATCGCGATTTGGATGCAACCTGGCTGCGTGATTTGCACCGCCGTGTGTCCAGCAATCATACTTGACTTTGGTTCCAACCTTCTAGATGCATTTGTTTTTCAGTTTACCTTTCCCGAGTTCAATGTATTAGTTATTTTCTTAATCAATTCGTTCTTTTTCTTTTCTTGCAAAAGTCACAGTTTCATGGATTTTGTAACCTCTCCACAGCAATTATGACGATAAGCACTGTTGCCATTATTCACAGGTACGACTTCAACTATTATTATTATTGGCGATACTGCTGTTGCTATTACCATCGCGAATACGACTACTTGCCGATACGAGCAAAGATGCGAGTTCCCGAAACTAGTTGATCAGAAGAAAAAGAAGCGGTCGCTGGAACAAGGGCTTTATTCGCCTGACCTTTCGGATTCTCACTTGAACTCATCTTCAGAGACAGTGGCGGAAAAGGGTGCCAGTGTCTCTGATGATGGTTTCAAGTGAAAATCCGAAACGCCTCGCGAATAAGACCCTTATTCCAGCGATCGCTTCTTCTTCTTCTTCTTCTTCTTCTTCTTCTTCTGATCAATAAGACTACTGTTACTACCATTATCAACACTACTACTACTACTGCTACTACCACTACTACTGAAACCGCTACTGCTATCATTATTTACGCTTCCACTGCTACTACTGCTGCTCTGACTACTAATACTACTGGTTTCGACGATGTCCACCGTGTGCTCCACAACAGGGTGAATGAGTCTATTGTGATAGTTGTCTTGCACAGCATCTATCGCACTCACTCCCGCCTGGTCAAGAAACCGTCGGAAGAGCGGGAGTGGGAGAGGCCGCAGGTGGCCGACGCGGCCGGAACCACTCCTATGCCTGTCGCCATTCCCGGCTCGATTTCCTCAAAATGGGAGCGCCATAGAGGCCACATTAAGCAGGCCCCATACTACTATTAACGCCACTGCCACTACTATTACTTCTCCCGTAATTGTTAGTGCTATTGCTGTCCGTACTACCCTTACCAACTTTAACTAAGGTGTCACTACTAATGCCACCAGCGTCACTGCTTACACAGCATTGTCCGTAATACCACTACTTAGGCTAGTATTTTTTTCAAATTACTGTCACTGCTACAACCACTGTTCCTAATACTACTACCACGACTACTAGTACTACAAACACGACCACCGGTATGTCTGCTGTACTCGGAGATGACCTCCGCAGCGGGGACAGACAGAGGCCGCTTGCGTACGCCTAATTCATTCTTTCTTTCCCATCGTCTGTTAGTAGTTTTACCACTACCACCGCCGATAGTGCTGCTGGTGATGCCAACACCATTAATGCTACCAATGCACTTGCCGCTATCTCTACTATCACCGTTACTAACACCACCACTACCGCCACGTATATCAGCAACACCAATACTGCGACCACGATAAATAATGCTACCGCTGTCTTTATTACCAGTATCACCGCCACTACCGTTATTGTGATTGTTACTACTCTCTTATTGTCACTAGTTCATCCGTCGAAATCTATGAGGACTTTTTAAGGAAGCGTGCGCAAGCCGCTCTCGCTCTTTCCCCTGCCACTGTTCACCGGCCGCAGGCCCTAGCTGACTTGACTGCAAATGAGATCGGGTGGTTGGGCTAATCTGACATCCCCGGGCATCACACGCTGTGCGCTGGTTGGACAGCGGACAGCTTAATCCGTTTACATGCATGACAGCACATTCAACTATTTTTTGAATCCCAACAGCACTGCCATTTCTAACCATGGCACTACTATTACCACTGACAGTACTATTGGCTGCTGCTGTTACTAATACTACTTCTACTACTACTACTAATAATAATGCTACTACAACCACTACTACCACTACTACTATTTCACCTAGTACTACTACTACTACTACTACCACCACCACTAAAGATATCGCATGTGCTGCAACCCGTATTATTGCTTATGCTTGTACTAGCACTGCTTCGAAAGGTAATATAAATATTAGGATTATTATTGCCACCATGGCAACTACTACTACTAATACCACTACTACTATTTCACCTAGTACTACTACTACTACTACTACTACTACTACCACCACCACTAAAGATATCGCATGTGCTGTAACCCGTATTATTGCTTATGCTTGTACTAGCACTGCTTCGAAAGGTAATATAAATATTAGGATTATTATTGCCACCATGGCAACTACTACTTCTACTACTAGTACTACTAATAATGCCACTACTACCACTGCTATTGCTACTACTACTACTACTACTACTACTACTACTACTACTACTATAACAACAACAACAACTACTACTACTACTACTACTACTACTACTACTACTACCGCTGCTTCTACTATTACTACTTTCACACTGTGAAAAGCGAGGGACATTGAAGGCCAAGTGTTTCGGCAGAACTGATGCTGGCAAGCCATCAGTTTGCATTGAATCACATGTTAATGTGCCACTTGCTGTCCACAGATATCTCTTTTGTGAACCCCGACAATATTACAAATTCCGACCTCGCCACTACTGTTACCGCTGTCAGTAACATCAACTGCTGCTGCCGGTGTTAATACCATGCTACCACTCGCACTGTTGCATCTGATTATACTTGAACTGCTCTGACAGGCATTGCACTTAAGCAGAATAAGAAGAAGATGAGGAAGAAAAAGCGATGGCTGGAACAAGAGATTTATTCGCCGGACGTTTCGGATTCTAGACGACGGATATTTGGGTACTATCTCCCGATTGTTACCCCATCATCAGAGACAGTGGCTGAAAAGGGGTGAATCGTGCGCACGAAGTTGCAGTATTTATAGTATGTAGTCGCTAGGCCGTTAGTCGCCTTCTTGCACCACTCGGGGTTTGAGTTGCACACAGACTGGAGGCCACCATGAGGCGTCAGGCGATGAGACCAAAGGATCCACTGCCACGACAAGCAACATCTGGAGTGGTTTGCCAGATTTGGTGCAGTTGCGGACAAAGCAACTACATCGAAGATACTGGAGGACTACCGGACGCGAATTGCCGAACACACAGCAGCGGTGCGCATAAATGATGCCAACTCGCATGTCGCATCACCACCACTACCGTCACGTATATCAGTACCACCAATACTGCAATCATTATTAATAATGCTACTGCTGCTTACATTACTATTTTCACCGCCACTACAGTTACCGTGACCGCTACTACTCTCTTATTGTCACTAGTTCATCCGTCGAAATCTATGAGGACTTTTAAGGTGTTAAGGAAGCTTGCGCAACGCCGATCTCGCTCTTTCCCCTGCCACCGTTCACCGGCCGCAGGCCCTAGCTGACTTGACTGCAAATGAGATCGGGTGGTTGGGCTAATCTGACATCCCCGGGTATCGCACGCTGTGCGCTGGTTGGACAGTGGACAGCTTAATCCGTTTACATTCGTGACACCACATCCACCTATTTTGTGAACCCCAACAGCACTGCCATTTCTAACCATGGTATTACTATTACCACTGACAGTACTATTGGCTGCTGTTGTTACTACTACAACCACCACCACCACCACTACTAAAGATATCGCATGTGCTGCAATCCGTATTATTGCTTATGCTTGTACTAGCACTGCTTCGACAGGTAATATACATATAAGGATTATTATTGCCACCATGGCAACTACTACTACTAATACCACTACTACTACTACTGCTATTGCTACTACTACTACTACTACTACTACTACTACTACTACTACTACTACTACTACTACTACTACTACTACTACTACTACTACTACCACTACTATAACAACAACAACTACTACTACTGCTACTATTACTACTTTCTCACTGTGAAGAGCGAGGGACATTGAAGGCCGAGTATTTCGGCAGAACTGATGCTGGCAAGCCATCAGTTTGCATTGTTAATGCGCCACTTGCTGTCCACAGATATCTCTTTTGAGAACCTCGACAATACTACAAATTCCGACCTCGCTACTCCTATTACCATTGTCAGTAACAACAACTGCTGCTGCCGGTGTTAATACTATCGCTAAAATTATTGCTCATGCTACCACTCGCAGTGTTGCATCTAATTCTACTTGAACCGCATTACAGGAACAAGAGATTTATTCGCCTAATGTTTCCGTAGATTAAGCCGGATACCTACAAATGCGGTTGCTCCTCACCTCAGGAAGCAATAGTCAAGAATGATATTGCTAGTGTAGGTCTACAGCGATAGTTTCTCTAATCTCCTTAGGTATGGTTAGATTTGGCCGAAACCCCACTACTGCTGCCACTCGCCAGCCCTGTAAGTCTAGGTCAAGGCTAACCAACCATGGTTGGGTCTACAGCGATCGAATCTCGACTGTTAGAGACTATCATAATCTAAGTGAGGCAGAATGTGAACTGAAGGTCAGATGGAACTGAGGTCGGATGAAACAATTAATATGTAGGGCTATAACCTATTCAAATAGATATAGTAGGTATTATTTCTAGGCAACGGATATTTGGGTGCCATCTCCCGATTGTTATCGCCACGGCAAGAAACATCTGGAGTTGTTTACCGGCTTTGGTGCAGTTGCGGACAAAGCAACTACATCGAAGAAACTGGAAGACTGTTCCGGACGCGAATTGCCGAACACGCAGCAGCGGTACAAAGAAATGACGCCATCTCGCGTGTCGCGGCCCATTCCACGAGACCCGGCCACACATTCAAGTTCGATGAGGCTGAAATGCCCGCGAGAGGGGATAATCGCGTGAGCCGCGAGCTGCTTAAGTGATTGTTCACGTGACCTCAGTCTATCAACAAGTGCAACGGCATACCCACTCCATATTCCGTGCTGAGGCATAGGCTGGCCAAGGTAATTGACCACTCGGGGAGCGCGCAAGCCGATGAGTCAGATGGCCGAGCATTCATCATGCCAGCATCCAACACGGGTGATGAGATTTCGGCAATCAACAACTTGCATGCCGGTTCAAGCAAATAGCGCATAAGCGGGCAACAATCCTTGATGAAAGGGAGCGCGCTTAATTGCTATGGGCATGTGGTAACATAGCGACTACAACCTTATAAATACTGCAACTTCCTGTGCACGAGTCACCCCTTTTCTGCCACTGTCTCTGATGGTGGATTCAAGTGAGAATCTGAAAGGTTAGGCAAATAAAGCACTTGTTCCAGCGACCGCTTTTTCTTCTTCTGATCAGTGAGTTCCTGGAACTCGCATCGTTGCTTGTACAGGCATTACACTTGTTCGAACCAGTATTGCCGCCATCACTACTACTACTACTACGGCCACCACCACGGTCATCATCATCATCATCATCATCATCATCATCATCATCATCATCATCATCATCATCATCATCATCATCATCATCATCATCATCATCATCATCATCATCATCATCATCATCATCATCATCATCATCATCATCATCATCATCATCATCAATACCACTACTACTCCTATGTCGTGGAAAGCGAGAGAAAGATAGAAGGCCCAGTATTTCAGGGACATCCGGCGCTAGCGAGCACTCATTTTGCATTGAGTCACATGTTACTGTTCACTTAAGCTACTTTAGGCCGTAGGGGCATCGAGCTCTGTGTGTTTGTAGTTCTTTTGCACACAGGCGATGTGTGACTGACCAGGTTGCCGTCGCTATGGTTCATGGGCTCTGTGGCAGCCCAGAAACTGCCTGAAAATGTGGTTTATACTGAAATCGTCGTCCTTTCCGGACCTCCCGCTAAAAGAGACGTCACGTAGTGAATGGTGAACCAAGTAAAAAATCCAGTCTACCAGTAAGTATCGTCGCATCTTGAGGCGGCTATGAATTGACACCTGAGGCCTGTATCGAATTTTCAAAACTAGACTAGGTCATTTTTGGTTCTTGACCACTTAATGCTACCAGACATGTTTTCCCACAAATGCAGACTCGTCCCGATTTTCTGGCCTGTCCGAACATGGCACCATAGTGCTGGAGTTAATTGCCTCTTCCACGGCTACTGTCTGTCACAAAGCATGCTCTGGGCAGTGTAAACAAACACTGTAGGCCGTTGTTTTGGTCAGTTTTGCTTTACTTTAATATGTCTGAGCATTGATACGTCATTATAGATGACCTGCGGGCTTATTCTATCAGTATTGCAAGATATGGCGAAGGGTTTGCGTCGTAAGCCTTCGTGTTATCAATTATGCATGCGCTAAAAATAAAACGTAAAAATAGCCCTCTGGAAAACAATGTATGACTCCTTTGTTGCCTATTTTGCGGGTACTCTTGTGATGTGTGTTTATGCCTGGAAGCCAGACCTGCTTTTCAGCTCACTATATTGAGAGCAAAATAAACGTGAACGCTTGTGAATCCTGCCTTTTGCAGGAAAACACAGAGTTTCTTGCAAAAGCACTCAGTTGATTGAGAAATAATCGCGTAGAGCGAGCAAAGATTTAAAAGGGAAATTTTCACTTTCAGTGTCGGCGCTTATCTTGGAAGATGAGTCTGTTAAGAGGTGTTTAGTATGGTTAATAATTTGTTTCGATTTAAGAAAAAATCTGCAATTTTGCCGGCCAGAATTTTTTGCCCAGATGAGGGCACCGGAAGACATTCGACGATATTTTGGACCCGACGATGTGGGACCCTTGCCCGTTGAGAGGCCCCTACGTAAAGTAGATGTGCGTTTTTGACTGGAAAAGGTTGCTTATATAGTATTGTTATAATAATTGCCATGGAGCATAATCCACTCATTTATTAGCCACATTAGGATGTCATCTTCTGAATGAGCTCCTTTGGTACTGTTTGCAAAGCCATATGTCGCGTAAATGGTCACTTAAGTAGTGCGAATTCTTCCGATTGATTTTCGATGCCTTTATAAGTTCAAGCATATTTTATAAAAATATGCACAAAATATTAATTTTCACTCTTTTGGTGACAAATCGAGTCTTCTTTAGATGTTATGTTTGAAGATAAAGTATCTTCTGGCATAAATAAGTTTCCAATTATGAGATCTTTAACGCCGTGTTGTGCCCATTCATGTCGCATCCTATATCTGCACTTACAGTAGGTGGATTAACTCATGAAATATCAACCCGAAATTCCGAAATGCGTCTTCATTTCAAAAAGATTAATTAAATACGGTTCTAAAACTAATCACCATGCAGCGTAATTCTATAATAATTCAGTTACCTCATGATGTCGTCCTTCAAACAATCTGCTTTCCGGCTGCAAACAAAAACTATGTAAAAAATGACTACTAGTGTAGCATGCATTTTTCTCATTGATTTTCGATACAATTAAATATTCAATTATATTTCATTGGAAACGTGCATAAAAATATTCATTTTCCTGGTCATGTGGTAAAAGATGACGTTTACTTCTGATTTTATGCTTGAAGAAAGGGTATAATTCGGTTTTTAAAAGTTTATAATTGTGGGAGTTTTTAAAACCGTGAAATGGCCGTTCATAAAACGTTATGTCTCTGCATTTATCAATGGGGCTTGTGAAATTAGCAATATGGCTCAAATCCACTGCTGAATTTTATGAATCCCATATGATCCCCCTTAATACTGTAGAGAAATGTATGGTTTTCCGTACGCAGAAAATATACGGTTTGTAGTTTGGAAACCCAGAATGCAAAGTGTAACGGCAGGTCTGATTCAAAATCATTCGGGAATTGGAAAAGTTTTTTAAAACCGAACTAAACCGTTTGTTTGAGTATAAAATTGAAAGAAGACGTCATTTTCCATGAAATATAATTGAATATTTACGGGCATCGAAAATCAATGAGAAGAGTGCAGGCGACATAGGCGATCGTTTTTTTCAGAGCATGGTTTTCGCATGCAGCCGATAATTTCGTTCGAAATCAGGCATCCCGAGGTAACCGAATTATTACGGAATCGCAGTGCATGATGATTAGTTTTATAACCCTACTTAATTACTCATTTGGAAACGAAATCGCATTTCGGAAGTGCGGTTGACGTTTCCTGAGTTAGCCTACCTACGGTATTATTTTCTCAAAATATCCAGCAGGGTTCAAATCTGCCGCGGCATTTTAATAACGATTGGGAATGCACTGTTCTCCTTACACGTAAGGCATACCGCTTGTAATATGGAAACCCTGGATGCCGGTGTGACTGTAGGTCGGGTTCAAACTGATTAGGGAATCGAAAGTCTTTGAATACCAAATTTTACTGTTCCGTTAAGTATAAAAATTCAAAGAAAGCGTAATCTGATATCCAAGGTGTAAAGTGAATAGGATTTTGGGTGTGTTTCCTCTAGAACATGTTTGAAGCAATAGGTGTATCGGGAGTTAGTTGGAGCGATTCATGCTACCTAACTAATCCTTTTCCTTTACAGACTGTTCAAAAGAAGCTTGTTAAAAAACTGGCATACTCATGTGACTGAAATACCTTGGAATCATGCCGGATGGCGGTTAGTTTTACAACTCTACTTTCGAGTCGAATACGCATTTCAGCACTTCGGTTAACATTTAATGAGATAACGTATCTAATGTATGTGCTGATTCGGTATCTCGATGGTTACCTATTACCGAAATGTGTCTCACACGAACTTTCCTGCAAACATGTTGTGGGCGAAATGGGTTTATTTCAACATAGCAGGGAAACGATCTGAATGCTCCCTCAAAATTGTCCTACTAAACTTTCTAAGTACCTCCAGAGGATTGACCAAGATAAGATCAGATGCTGCGAGTTCGTAGGAGAGAACGGTGCAAAGTTGGTTTAACAGGTTGTGACTGAACGGTAAGATGTGGTTATATAGCCCCACCTGATGGACACAATACTGTTGGGGTCGGGGTTAGGAGTTATGTTTAGGAATTAGGGCTTAGGGCTTCAGTTAAGGAATAAGGGTAGGATTCAGGTTAGGGTTAAAGGGATAGGGCAAGGGAGTTAAGGGTTAGGGTTAAGGGGTATATGGCTAGGGGTTAGATGCAGGGGTTATGGTGAAGGGTTAGGGTTTGAGTTAGAGTTGGGGGTAAGGTCAGGTATTTCTCAACCACTCAAAGTACAACCGCGCATTCCCAATAGCCTTTCTTTTGCATACAACTTCATGACCTCATGGCCCGTGCGTTCCCCGGCCCCACTCCAAAAACCCAATCCCTACCGGTCCCGTATCACAGGTGGCTCGGGTTAGTTAGGTGGGGCTACATAACCACATCTGGCTGACTGAACGAGCCCGCAAAAAGATAGCAATGCCTGGTGCAACACTGCGGAACAGGCCCTAAAAGTTGTTTGGTCCGATGTCTCTGGTAAACAACAAGCTGTTTCACAAACTGTCGCCATAAGAGCTGACGCAGGGCGGGCGCCTCATTCATCACAGCCGATTTCAAAGCTTTCAACATGCTTACAGTGGTGGACTCAATCCTCTGTCAAATAGAATTAACGAAGGAAACAGGGCCTTGTCCGATACCATGTGCCACTTATCCTCGTGGTTTATAGGCGTGCCCTCCAAACGGGCCACGTGTTAGATGCGTTGGACCAACACGGGGGCCACATCGGATCCTGGCAGGCGCTATATGTGCGCAATAACAAATGCCAACATGTGCGGGGTGCGCTGGCGGACCCTGTTGTCGGCATTCGCCGCGCAACTGGACCACTGCCACCACCCCATTGTTTTGTGGTCAAAATCCTGGTCAGTTGTGTGTGGACCAGGGGGTGCGGAGTGGAGCGCCAAGGCGAGGATCCGTCCAAGGCATCCACCTGCGGTCTCCCCCGTCTCCGGTCTTCTTGACTCTGTCTTGACTGCGGACTTAGGCGGGGGAGGAGGAGAGAGTGTAGGTAGATGCTACGCAAGTCTACTGGCACTATAAACCCCTGCGTAAGTCACCGTCCCTGCTCCCACAATGCAGTCTGTGGGGCATACGGTGGACATCATCGAAATCAATGGTCGAGTTGCCGGTTTATAGGCCGCGTGATGTCGCTCTGCGGTCGAGCGTGATGTATAGTTGTGTGAGGAAAAGAAACAGGCATGTCGAGACGCACTACAGTGAATCGGAAGACACTGTTTTCGACGTGTGTTTAGACCGTGTGGCCATCCGTGCATCTTCGTCAAGCAGTGCTTGTGTCAACGAGACGAGAGACCGACTTTAAATTTTTAAGTGCCCTCCCCTAAAACAAAAATGCGTCTCAAGACGTCTAGTAGGTAAACGTAATTATGTGGTTTTACAGGCAAACTACGCAAACGTTTTTAATCGACATTCGCAGCATGCAGGATTCACTTGTTATTTGGATCTGTCCCAGACCTCTTTAGGCTAAGGCAAACCCCAACGCCCTTGGATTTTGGTCAAAGTACTGAAGTTAAAGTTCTTTAATAGCTTAGAATATTTCATATACATTCTGTCTTTTTTTTCTGCGTACACATTAAGTCAACTAGAGTGGGGCTTTAATCGGCAAATTATATATGGAAACGTTTTTAGCCAGTAAACGTATATGATGTTCCGTTTGGTGTTTTAGAAGAACCGACAGGTCTCTAAATAACGACATCGAAATGGTTGTTTTCAGACGAGAACGTCTGTTTTCGCTGCGTAGATGTTAAAAAATAAAACAAAAATTTTTGTAAATCATTAGCTTTTCCTAGAGACAGAATGATTCTCCCAGCCGACATTGCCTTAAGTAACTGAAAGAGGTTAAAATAAAATTGTTACTCGCCGTCAAATTACCAACAGCTACTTTTCCTTTTAGGAAAATACTTCTATGTTGGACCTAGGGTGTTACAACCTCTCTAGTTTAGAGAAAACTCGCCGAATAATCAAATGCGTAACATGTTCCGCAGCCATTTTAGAAAAAATAGATCAGGTTTGAGTTTTTTAAACCTTAACTTGCTTTAACCGCTGAAACTTCCGCTATGAAAGTGTGCCTCTAAAAACAAGCAGTCTTGATTGAAAACGCTCATTTAACTGTGCAGCACATGTAGCAGCAATCAGAAAATCAAGTGTTAATTGCAAATTATGCGTGAACAAATAATGACAGCATATAAGACATACTGTAATACTCGAGCCACCCAAGGGTATGTTCTTGTCTTCTTCTCCTTCTAGGCGACAGTCCGTGCTGACTTCCTTGGTGTTCTTATCCGAACGAGTGCCTCCTTGGCGGGAACCCTGGGAATCAGAGTGAATTAAGTCCATCGTCTGCAAGGGCAAGCGTGCACGGATAGAATGGATCGACGGTGGATAAAGTTTATTAAAGGGAATATATCAACAGAGGAAATTTACTCCCGTTCCGTCTTCTCTTCGTCCTCCACTTTACGGGCGGTCTCTCGACGGGCCCCCTCACACTCTTCGACGGCGGTCACTAAAACAAAACCGTTCAGAACTTCAATCAGTCAAATTGTACAGGAAGATCATAGCAAGGGCACATTAAAACAACATAGTCAGTACGTCCTCTTCACGCCCCCCCTCTCAAGAGGTGGCTCTGTCCTCAGAGGCGCTGCCTGGAAGGGGCTGCTGGTGACTTCCACCTCATCGGAGGGTTGAGGGACCAGGTGAGGGGGAAGGATGGGAAGGGTGTCGGCGGTCGCGTTGGGTAGCCGGCCTCTATAAGGTTTCAGCTTATCGTAGTGGACGGTGAGTACGGGGCCTCCGGCCGACTGCGCGTCACGTATGGTATAAGTCGAAGGGAGAAAGAAGTCAAGGACGACGAAGGGACCCTCCCACGGATGGAAGAACTTTGCCGAAGTCCCCACCGGTGGTGTCGGACGGTAGCGCAGTACCAGGTCGCCTGGACCGTAAGGTGCGCCGCTGACGTGTTGGTCGAAATAGGCTTTCTGTCGTGTATAAGCTGACTCTAGGTGAGTTCGCGCTAGATTGTGCGTGGTCCTCAAGGTTTCCTGCAACTCTAAGACATAAGCATCTGGCTGATAGTCGTCGCAGATTGGGAGCGGGAGTTGAGAGTCCGAGGGTAAGCGGAAATGGCGTCCGGTTAGCATGAAGAAGGGGGCGTAGCCAGTCGAGGTATGGACCGCGCATCTATATGCCATCATGGCGTATGGCAGCCGATAAAGACCAGGTCGTTCTGTATCACTTTAAATGCGGCCTGGACTCCGATGAGGTGGCGTATTCATTACGCCTAAACCCCCCGGGTGACCTCGAGAGCGCCATACAGAGAGCCAATCGGTTGTTAGAGCCAAACCCCCCAGGGCAAGTTTACCATCGCCCTCCTGGAGGCCCGTCCTTTTCCCCTGGCTACCGACGACCTGGGCAAGGGCCCAGCTCACGCGGCTTCTCTAAGGCAAACAACAGGGTCAGTACGTCCTCTACAATACAATTGATGCTTGCGAGATAGCGTAAACCAATAGGGGCTAAATCATTTATACACGTGCTTTGGAGAGCGAATTACAAATGTAATTGCGCAGTCAAGACCGAAAGTCGAACAAATTATTTATAAGAAATATAAGCGCATTACCATGTCTAAAATACCTGGTTGATGGGCTAGTTTATACTCAAGCCAACAGGTATTCAGGTGATTAGCTGAGCATAACGCACTGTTTGCATTCTTTACGGGTTGATGAACGAGGAGAACTAGATCAGTAACGATCATTACTGGTTCCCACCTCTATTATAACTTAAAAACTCCATCAATTAAGCATTCTCTAAATTTCCACAGAAATGATATTTCATCTAAAGAACTGAATCTTTGCAAATGCAAACACGTTCGTAAAAAACAAAGTCATTAGGCTTTAGTTTGCTGGTTGAAATCGAGAAACATTCTAATTATCGTACTGCCCAATTTTAGAATTTTAAATAGTTTTCTTTCAGACTATCCAGTGCCCACGGCCTTTTAAAAGCTGAGCCGCCTTGTTTCTTGCGGCCATATTTCTACGCGGTTTCAGGTTTTACTTGCTGAAAGCATCACATGCCGACTACGGTCTATTTTTATATTTAACGATGATACTCAGAAGTCTGACTAATTGCTCCGTCAAATTTTGAAGAAGATACTTACCCGTAAACTGCGTAAAAATCCCGATTTTATGCGGCAAGAATGGGTGTAGTTTGCGGCCAATTTGTCACTGTTATAATTTGTTACAGACCACTGCAGCGTGCAGTTTTAAATCATCGAACTTGCAGTTCGGGAAGGCCCCACCGGCGGAGACTACCCGACAACCAGTGAACGTGTTGCCTTATGTTTTGTTTTGGATGAAGAATTGTGTTTCCGTTTTTAACAATAAAGCATGCTGCAGACCCATTTTTCTTATTAAAAACAGTAGCATAACCGTATTGACGTTTTTTGCGATGCTTGGTTGGCTACTTGCATAAAGAGATTGAACCCTGTTCCCTCTCCTACCTTAAAGGAAACTCTAGTGGTGTACGTGGTAGAGATGTTGCTCCTAGAACCAATTTGAGCTGATGCGAAAAATGTAATTTAATTATGGTGTACATCAACATATATTGCTGGCATCTGTAAGTTCTGGAAGGTGACACGTTTTAGTCATTGCGGCATGTAGGACCTATACCCCTTTCTCTTCCTGCATGAAGGTCTTAGCCCATCTGTTCATTTTCTCGCAGATAAACACACTTACATAGCATGCTGGCCAAGTCACCACTATTGGTGCAGAATTTGAAGGGCTGTTTAATGTATTGTTTATGGCAATGTTTTTATGGATTAATTTCTATCTGCCTACCCTGGGTTTCTTCCCGCTATAATGAGCCCCCAATGTGTGGTCCAGGCCAGTATATGTTGCATTGTTACTTTCAGTACTTTGTTACGATAATAATCTTGCCGGCACAAAATCTCCAGAAGCTCCGCCTAAAATATGTGTCCGCCCTAGTAATCGGTACTCAATTTCGCATCTACTTTAGCTATCAGGCCACGGAATTTGCTGCTGTGCGCGCAGAAGAACCCTTGCACGCTCCACATCTATCGCGGCAAACGAGCGATTTACTGTATTTATTTCCTCGTCCGCCCTGTATTCCCTTCCCCCGTGACACAGCTCTAATGTACCCTTACTGCCACTTACTGTCTCCTCCCTCCCACCCTCCTCCGTATATACGGAAAAACGAACCGTGATCCTATCAACTTCTCGAATTTTCATTCGTTTTATTCGTATAAGCAATCCCTAGCCCTGCTGTGCGTAAAAAAACAGTATGACTGCTAACACTAAGAAAACTGTCAGATATTCTTTTCTAGTTTCTTAACGAAGTTTTTCCCTCATAATTTATCTTCGTTCTCATATTGTGCTGCGAATATCCTGAAAAATCTTAAACTTCTCGATGATCAACGAAAAACTGATCTATGCTGAAGAACCCGGCTGCCTTTTTAATAAGAATCGTATCTCCAATGCCAATGAACCCACTCTCACCATATATGACGCAAATGCTACCCAGTGTTTTTTGCGTGTGTTGCCGGTAGAAAACCCTTTTATTGGGTTAGTAGTTCAGCAGATGTTTAATCAGATTTTATCTCAAAATTTTTTTCTAATGTCTGCTCCGTCGTTTTTACTTATTTTGCTCCGAGACCTTTAACTGAATTTAAGATTTATGGCGACGGATGCAAATTCAAAATCACTCCTATCTCTAGATGGTTAAATTACGTTGTCTTAAAAACGGCCGCACTGTAGATGGTTTATTGAGACTTCGGAAATTGGCACTCACAACTGAACTAGGCTAGGTCAATTTCATAATCCCGCATCAACTGACATTCTTCTCCGCTAGGTCTCATTTCCCTGATGTTAAGCATTGCTCAAATATGCTATTTTTTCGCTGTTTTGCTTTTCTTCTTAACAGGGTCTGTATTTTATATGCGTATTCGTGTCTGCTCCTCACACGACCAGGTATGAAACCTAGTATGTTAAACGATCGAAAAATTTGACCCGTAATCAGATCAGAATATAAATTCTGAGGTCTGGCTTGTCGTATAACATCGCGTGGCCCACATCCATTCATGCTTTTACCGACTGTTTTCATTTATATCTCGGTCGTAGACATTGCGTTACTCAACTTTCAGCAGATATTTCCGCAAGGTTACGGCATATGGCGATGGTCGGAAAAAGGTAACATGTGGAGCGTCTGACGCAGTTATGGGAAAAGCATTTCCGTCGGCGAAAACGGAAGACGGCCCTTGACGCGGATGCCTGAACCTGCAGCTGCTATTTCTGTCACGTTGCTGCTAACTCGACCGAACCCGGCTTCACAATCAAGTTTAATGGGGCCAAAATCCTCGCGCGGAGGAGAGAACCGATTGGGCCCCCGGTCATTTGACAAGTGCGGTGATTTCCCGCCATCGTGTCCTCTGCTTAAACCCCGCCTGATCTAACTGAGTAATCACGCAAAGAACGCGCGAGCAAGTACTGTTCTCAGTGGCAGTGTCGATGAACCCTTGATCACAAATGGTGCCATGTCAGTGGTGGACGACTTGCATCATGTAAAACCCTCTGCAGTTAATACGGGAGCAGTCCGGTTTGGTAGGTGTACAGTGGTATAACAACTGCATCCTTTCACCACTGCAAAACCTGTGCGGACATTACCCTTATCTAATTATGTCACTGAGGATGAATTGGAGTGCGGACTATAAACACTGGACAAATAAGCCTTTTGTTTCAACGATCACGTCTCTTCCCTGACTGCTTCCCGGGACCCACATCTTTGTTTCTATTGGGATTCGAATTTCGGATGTCACAGTTTCCGAGTTTCTGTGGTGAGGTATTGGACTAATTTACCTTTGACAATCTAGTCCCGTTTTTGGCAGTCTGTCCCTCACCCTGAACATTGGCGTTCGTCGGTCTTTCACCGGGATCTTTGTGATTGCTGATGTCCCTCATGCAATCCTCGGCCAAGACTTTCTTGCCGAGTTCGATCTCCTTGTTGACTGCCGACGTGCTCGTCTCCTCGACCGCACCACCGGTCTGTCTGTTCGTAGAATAACTCCCTTTAATGCCCGCACCAACTTATCTGTCTTGGACGCAGATATTGCTAGCCCCTTTCACGAACTTCTTCTTAGACACTCCAACATAATTAACCCCCACATTCGCAGTGGTGAGGTCCAACAAGATGTCGTGCACCATATCCGCACCTCAGATCCTCCCGTGTTTGCTCGGCCGAGACGACCAGCACCGGATCATTTCCAGGTCGCAAAGGCGGAGTTTGAACACATGTTGCAACTGACAATAATTCAACCGTCTGATAGCCCTTGGGCGTCCCCACTGCACATGGTGCCCGAGGCGACATCAGGTGACTGGCGACCCTGTGGCGACTATCGTGCCCTCAACAGTGCCACCATTCCTGATCGGTACATCGTGCCTCATCTTCAGGACTTTGCTGGAGCCCTTTTTCGGCAAAGCGGTTTTCTCGAAGCTTGATCTGATGCGTGCTTTTCATCAGATTCCAGTAGTCCCTGAGGACATTCCTAAAACCGCCGTCACCACACTCTTCGGTCTCTTTGAATTCATCCGCATGCTGTTCGATCTTCGTAATGTCGCCCAAACGTTCCAGAGGTTCATTGACCATGTCTTACGGGGCCTGCCTTGTGTGTGTGCCTACATTGATGACCTCTTGGTGGCCAGCCAGAATGGAGAAGAACACAAAGAGAACCATGCCTTGGTGTTTGACCGCCTAGACCAGTTTGGCGTTGTCGTCAACCCCTCAAAGTGCGTGTTGGGTGAGCCCTCGCTCGAGTTCCTCGGCCATCATGTCGACTCTGAAGGTTTGCGTCCCCTCCCCTCCAAGGTTAAAACAATTCGTGATTCCCCTCCATCAACTTCCAAGCGTCAGTTACAGCGATTCCTCGACATGGCCAGTTTTTACCACTGATTCCTAACGAACTGTGTTGATCTCATGTTGCCGCTCACCAACATGCTTTCTAGTCCCAAAGGCACCCTCGAGCTGACTGGTGAAGCACTGACTGCTTTTGAGAGAATCAAGAATTCCCTTGCCACGCCACCTTACTCACCCATCCCGCTCCCGAAGCTCAGCTATCCCTGGTGGTAGGTGCTTCGATCGTAGCCGTAGGTGCAATCCTTCAACAAAACCTTGCTGGTTCGAGTCGACCACTTGCCTTTTTCTTCAAAAAGCTCTTACCAGCTCAGCCACGTTACAGTACCTTTGGTCGTGAATTACTTACCATTTACCTGGCTGCGAAGCATTTCCGGCATTTCCTTGAAGGTCGGGACTTCACTGTTTTCACGGACCACAACCGTTAACTTTTGCACTTTGGTCCCACTCCGACAAGTACAATCCGAGGTAAATCGCACATTTGGACTATACTTCCCATTTCACCTCTGCCATCCCCGCATGTCTTGTTACTCCGCCTAGGCGAAGTTTTAGCACAGAGTATGGAGTCGGAAGATCGTTGCACTTGTTGATGGACTGAGGGCCAGTAAACCATGCCTGTGTGATGATTGCTCGACCATCTGATCCACCGAACCTGGAGTTGGGAGAAGTACTCACTTGTGCTCTCCCCGCGTGGCTAATTACTCCGTCTAGGCGACGACTCATCACAGAGTAGGGAAGGGGAAGTTCACTGCACTTGTTAATGGACTGGGGGCCAGTGAACTATGATTCAAGTAGCTCCCGGCTCACGCGGTTGTCACCTTTTGCGATAATTTTGGCCTAATCGAATTTGATTGTGTGGCCGGATATCGTCGAATGGGCCGCCACACTGATGGCACGAAGAATGAGGTGGCTGATATGTTGTCCAGATTCTCACTGTCTTCCCTCCAACTCTCACACGGGATCGATGTTTGAGCCATGGCGGCTGGGCAATAGCGAGTCGGTTGTCCTGGCGACGAGTCCGTTAGTGGTCTCCAACTCAACGATTTTCCTCTGACAACCGGCTCTAGTACCATAATTTGTGACGTCTTGGCTCCCTTTCATCGACCTTTCGTGCCGCCTCGATGCGTCGAGCTGTATTTCAGACTCTGCATGGACTCTCCTACTCTGGGATCCGAGCCTCTTAAAAGCTCCTCGCGGAAAGGTTCGTCTGGCCTGGCATGAACAAGGACGTCAGAGCGTGGACCCGATAGTGCCAGAGCTGCCAGCGTAACAAGGTGCAACGTCACAAAAAGTTCCCACCAGACACTTTCCCCAGCCCCGACGCACGGTTCAGCCATGCGCACCTGGATGTCGTAGGCCCCTTGCCTCCATCCAGTGGTTTCACCCACCTCCTTTCCTGTGTCGATCGGTAGACCCGGTGGGCTAAAGCCATTCCTTTGCCGAATGCGCAGACTGAAACCATCATGAAGGTCTTCGTTAGTCGTTGGGTCGCCATGTTCGGTGTCCCATCCACGGTTTCGACTGATCGTGATGCCCAATTTGAGTCGGCACTCTTCCAAACGCTACTCAGTTTCTTTGGCTGCACACGCATTCGAACGACAGCCTACCACCCAGCTGCCAACGGTATGGTTGAGCGTTTCCATCGGCAGCTAAAGACCGTCCTGCGTGCCGTAGAACACTTAGGAAACTGGTCAGATAACCTTTCTCTTGCACTCCTCGGCATCCGCGTAGCTCTAAAATCTGATCTGGACTGTAGCGCAGTTGAATTGGTTTTCGGCACTACCCTCCGACTGCCAGGCGAGATGGTCACCCCAACCTCTCGTGGGACCGACGAGATTCCTGGCTAATTTGTGCATCGTTCGTGGCAATTCCTGCGCTCGCTCGTTCCACCTCGAACTCCAACGATTGAGTGTTATGTCGAAAAAGACTTGGACAACTGCACTCATTTATTCGTCCGGTGTGATCCTGTGCGCCAGCCGCTGGAATCACCATACGAAGGACCGTTCCGCGTGCTCGCACGCCACGCCAAGACCTGCCGGATTCTTCCTGATGACAAGGAGGATGTGGTCAGTGTCGATCGGGTCAAGGGTGCTGTTGCAGAGGAACCGCCGGACCTGTCACGAGGACAAAATTGTGCTGACCCCCTAACCCCTGTTCATCCATCTTCACTATCCCCTGTTCATTTACCTTGCCCACTTCCTCCCCCTTCTCCTCCCTTGCCCTCTACCCCTCGGTCCCGCATACCTCCTCTCCCTATATGTCTACAGTATCCAACTGCAACATCGTCCTCCACCATAGCACGCAGTCAACGCTCTTCGACTGTACCTCCCGCTTACATCACTCGCAGTGGCCGTCACGTTCATTTCCCCGATCGTTTAGTCACGCATTTTTTCCAAACTTATGCATATCCTCCGGCGCTGCATTACGTCGCCATCCGGTCTAGTGGGGGGTTATTGTGGTGAGGTATCGGACTAATTTATCTTCGACAATTTAGTCCCGTTTTCTTTCACCGGATTGCTTGTTTGAATGTGATGCAAAACAACACACCTGTACAACCGCTTCGCTAGGCTGCTAAGCTGTCGCGCTCTGTTGTCAGGTTACTTAACGTTCAGAATTTCTATATTTTTCACTGCTCGATTTTACTTACTGCCTTTAAGGCTACGGGCTCGTGAGATATAACTCGTTAGTTCGTGCTAACACTACCATTTACGTCATTTCTCCGCCCACTATTTGTAGGAAGAAGGACAAGGGTATGGTTTGTGACTGGAGTCGCCTACTCCGAGAGCAATTTTGCTAAAAGAAAGTAACTGACGAGATCTATATGAATGCGCCAGAGAAAGAAATAAGAGTACGTCGCGATGGCTGTTGCGTGAGAGCGGTCAAGATGCTTTAAGCCAGTCATCAGAGTCAAAATGCGACAACTCAATGCCTTTTTTGACAAAGTCTGCAAATGGGCATTAAATTAATTTACTTTTATCATTATACGGTAAGAATGGCACTGTAATATCCCGCATCGTCAATATTCTCTGTTAGACTCTGTTGCCAGTATTTTCATGAGACCATCGTCGTACTTAACTTTTTGTTCCAACTAATAATGAATGGTAGAAACGAGCATAAATATAATTACGGAGAATTGAAGCTGCTTTACTAACCACAAAGTAATAACACATTTCAATGTAAAAGGCGGAAGAACAGTTATCGATTTCTGGAAAAGATAATGTCTAAATCATTCGCAACTTTCGTCCCAGCTGCACCTAAATCAAAATTAAATTGAGCATGAGTAGTAACGAATAAATTGCATCTCGAACATCCAAGAGGGCCAGGAATCGTTGGATCTGCAACCTGACTGTAAGCTCGCCATGGCGATTAACCCGAAGCTAATTTCCGTGCGGTGTTTGCTGAAGGACGACAGATCTGGAAAAGCTACTGAAGGGAAGTGCGAAGGTTCCTAGCCATTTGTATCTAAACTGGTTAAAAACTATTTAGCACCGATGGGGCAAGAAAACTCAAGCTATAAAGATACCCGTCGTCAATAGTAGTGAAAATGCGATCACCAAGTGGCGTATCAAAAGAGAAGGAGGTTTATTGGAGTTCTGACGTTTCGAGTAGTTGTTCCGCCTACCCATCTCCAGAGACTGTAATGTAGCGCGCTGCAAACGCGAATGCACGAGCATAAGTTGGCCATGCGTAGGTTGGACCCAAAGTCGGAGGTGGCAACCCATGTCGCGCAAATGGGACACATCAGCAACTTCGAGGCCGTTGAGATTGTGAGCCGGGGCGGTGATCATACGGCAAGGCGGGTGCAAGAAGCCTGAATGTACACCGACTGTTCTGTCAATCGCCACATCGATTTGCCTCCTCCCTTTCTGACTGTAGGAACCTTTTTAACGGGGGACGGTCACGGCGCTGGACAATCAGGCCCGTCAGTTATCTCCGCGGCCGACGAGGGCGGAGACGATTTAGGACACGGTGACATGCGGGCCGGATGCATCCACACAGACTCCATTGGCATACCATCCGTCAAACGAACTGCGCCATATAAGGAGGGCTGTAGGCATGACTGTCTAGTCTCTGAAGATGGCTAGACGAAACAACTACTCTAAACGTCAGACCTTCGATAAACTCCTCCCAGTGCATGCCTCCCTTTCTCTTGAGATATCCGCCGTACCGGAGATTTTCTGCAGTAAGTTTCTGTTGGCCACCGATGAGCACCTGCTCAGAGCCAACAGCCAACCTTCAAACCCTGCGCAACAAAAATCCGAGGTGCGGATATTTGAAACAGCAGAATCAACCAAGAGTCCTCGAAAGCTCGCATCCACTGAGGAATGCGCCGAACCTTATTTCGTGATCACTAATCACTGTCCTGACTGCGGAGCTCTATCTGACGAATGCATGATGAATGGCTACGGAGTAAGTCGTAGAACATTACTCAGACTTGAGCAGATATCTGGATCGATGCCTTTGACCTCAGACCCGCATGAGAGCTCTTGGCCAGCAAAACACTCGCTAAGCAACGGTAAGATAAAGATCCGCAGTAGCTGTGGGTCGTATAATGCGGAAATGTTGGTTTACGGGTGGAACAGCAACCCGGACGCTAAGCAGACAGAATGCAGGAAAATATAGAAGACGGTCGGTGGCAAAAACAATACTGTCGAGTGAAATGATGGATGGATATTTCGTGGCCCATCCTCTGGCAAACATTTCTGTTATTCAGCATCCATGCTCAGTCGATCTTTGTTTATGTTTTGCTGCTCTTGGATAAAACTACCAGTCATCAATACTTAACTAGATTTTGCAAACACGCATCAGCACATGATCCACTATCTATCGACAGCCAATTCTTTAGATGCTTCTGTGATAAGGGTATGTTTTATGGCCGTGGCTACTTGATCCTAAGAGAAATTGCGTTAGTAAATCACAGCCAGAGAGAAAAACGGTCTAGCAGTGGCTATTACGTGAGTTTGGGCAAGATGCTTTAATACAATCATCGGAGTGCAAATGCGACAATGCAATACCCTATTAAAAATGCCTGCAAAATGGCACTAGATTCATTTGCTATGGATAAGAAGAGGAAGCAATCGCTGGAACAAGGGTTTTCTTCGCCTGACGTTTCCGATTCTCACTTGAGCCCATCACCAGAGACAGTGGCGGAAACGAGTGATTCGTGCACAGGAAATTGTAGTATTTATAGTCGCCGTGCTACCGCAAACCTATAGTAACAAGCCGCGCTCCCCTTCATTAAGAGTTTTTGTCGCTGGTGCGCTAATTGCTTAAAGGCCGGCATGCAAGTTGTTAATTGCCGAAATGTCAGCACTCGTGTTGGATGCCGGTGTGATGATTGCTTGGCCATCTGGCTCACCGGCTTGCGCGCTCCCGAGTGGTCCATTACCTTGGTCAGCCTATGCCTCAGCACAGAATATGGATTGGTGGTTTCGTTGCACTTGTTGATAGACTGAGGCCCCGTGAACCATGATTCAAGCAACTCGCGGCTCACGCGATTATCCCCCCTCGCGAGAATTTCGACCTCATCGAAATTTAATGTGTGGCCGGGTCTCGTCTAATAAGCCGCGACATGAGAGTTGGCGTCATTTCTTCGTACCGCTGCTGCGTGTTCGGTCATTCGCGTTTAGAGCAGTCGTTTAGTACCTTCAACGTAACTGCTTCGCCCGCAACTGCATCAAATCCGGTAAACGACTCCAGATGTTTCTTGCCGTGGCAGTGGGTCTTATGGCCTCATCACCTGCTGCATTATGGCGGCCTCCGGTCTGTGTGCAACTCCAAACGCAAGTGGTGCAAAAAGGCGACTAACGGCATCCCGACACGTTCTTGATGTACGGCATCGCTGTCCAGAATTTGGGGTCTGTACGACGTTGTCGTTCTCATCGCTTGCTCATGCCGAAGTTGTGCGGGCAACGGTTTTTTTTTGAAAACGCGTCGAAGATATTGGGATTCGGCAACCTTCTCTTCCGCTTTACGGCCGTGAGTCTCAACGCGCCGATATAGTATTCTTACGCAGCTGCGTTTGTGGCCAATTGGGTACTTACTGTTAAAGTTGAGCATTTGCGTCGCATATGTCGCTTTCCTGAATACTTTGGTTTTTAGGCCACCACAAACTTTGCGACAGACGAGGACACCAAGGAAGGTCAGCTGGTTATTTTCTATCTCGCATGTCCAGGAAGACGCTGTTGAGACGTTCTTTGGACGTTAGCCGCTGATCCCATTCGATGACGACGAAGTTATCGTCTACACACCGAGCCAGAATTTCGGTCTGTCGTGTCGGAAAACCAGCGATTCTAACCGTTATATGATCGCCTCGGCTATGAGTCCCGAAATCAGCGAACCCATTGGTGTTCCCTTCACCTGCTCGTTGATTGTTCCGTCACACGTGAAGTACGACCTGAAACAGAAATTTAGGAGCTGAAGGACTTGGGCATGTCAGATGTGATTCTCTGTTTCATCGTATTTGCTCCGTAGGAGTAGCTCGACGGTCTAGATTGCCAGATCCTGAGGGATAGAAGTAAATAGGGACGTGAAATCAAAAGATACCATGACCTCATTTGGCAAGAGACTTACTCCTTTAAGCTTCTCCGGGAATTGTATTGACGAACAGACGGGGGAGTCCGAATCAGCGGTCAGAAATTTGAGGCGCCGAAACAGCCATTTTGCCAGTCCGTACGTTGGAGTGTCTTTGAGCGATACAATGGGCCGGAGAGGAACGCCCACCCTATGCACCTTGGGCCAAGGCCGTTTCTTGGGACAAAGCGACTACGTCGAATGAACTGGAAGACTGCTCCCGACGCGAATAGCCGAACACGCGGCAGTGGAGCGGATAAGTGGCGCCAACTCG